AAGGACACATACCTTGGTTGTGGTTCAGTCCCTGGCCCTGGTTGTGGTTGTGATGGGGGAAGGAGAGGGCAACCAATTGATGTGTCTCTCTCATATCAATGTTTCTCTCTCTCCCTCTCTTCCTCCCTCCCTTTCTCTCTCCTTCCTTCTCACTCTATCTGAAGGTAAATGGAAAAATATCCTCAGGTGAGGATTAAACAAAAAAAGAGAGAGAAGATAGGCTTAATGAATGTAAATTGTAAAAATAGATAGAGCTAATATTAAGCAGAGCTCTTTTATAAAGAAGACAAATTGCCCTAGAGAGCTTACATTTCTTGTTTTAAGAAAGAATTCCTCCCCCTCATCTATTAGTAAAGTTGTCTTTTGAACAATGCCAAATGATGGGGAGGTACGTGTAAGATAACCAGGAATTCAGCTGAGAACCTTATGGGAGATAGTCATAAACAAAAAACAAACAACAATAACTACAAAACAAAACCAAAAAGAAAAACCCAGGCAACTAAAAATAAGTATGTGAAAGACTTCGAAGGCAGAGAAACAAGTCAGATGAACTAATTCCTCTGTGACTAACAATTTAGGGTGAACATTTTATAATAAGAAATGTTGAATTGATTTTTTTATATCCAGAGTAATTTTATTTTTTTTTCTACTATGCCGGAAAGTAATATTTAATCCATGAAATTTATTTTTGCATGTTTAATTTTCAGGATAATAGGACAAACACCTTAAAAGTAATTAAAAATAGGTTATGTTGTTTTCCTCCATTGGCTGATGCTAATGCAACTATGGGCTTTAGCTCACATTAGTTGCTTTCTTGTCTTTTGCTGCAAGGCTGAGTTGTTGAAATGAATAACAGTATATTTTTCTTTTCTTTTCTTTTTTCTATCACTATTTATCTCCTCTATGCCCTCTTCTACCTCCACCCAGTCCCCCCCCAATAAAAAACAAATTCAGTTTATCTCTATAAATTTTCCTCAACCCAGAACTGAATCTCAATGTATTTCAGTTGCTTATTATGGATTTTCATTTGCAAGTTACTCATCACCATGTTGGGGGGAAACACATTTTCTATCCCTGTAAAGAAGAGAAAGGAGGAAAAGTGAAATAAGTTTGAAACATCTGTCAGAACCCAAGACATTCTTGTCTCCTGTGACCTTGAGAACACTGGAGACAGTCAAGCATGACTTGTGGTAGTATAGCCCTGTTTCCTTGGCCAGGGACTGTATCCCTGAGACCTGAACTACTGGAGGGACTCTGATTTTCTATGGAAATTTACTGCTTACCCATAAACATCAAACTCTAAAAAGATCAAAGCCTCCTGTATTATAACAGGCAAGTTCGCTCTTACCTTTAATCATACTGTACGAGGCCCTTCTGGCCTTTACAAATGTATTGATGGTGTAGTTACCCTTTCACATGAGAAGATCCTTTCATATCAAGTGCTTTTCCTGGAACGATGTACTTTTATTGGATGGCTGAAAACATCTCGTATTTGTAAGGATCTTGGCTATTTTAAGGGACTTTTCTTCTATTAAATTCTGGCCATTCAGTTTTTCTTGTTTTAACTCTGGAGAATTAGAGGCAGAGAGCGATGAAATAATTTGCCCTAGAGGATGTGAGAGAGCCAGGCCTAGAGTGGGGTCCGGCTGGAGGTAATGTGACCCTCATGGTGAATCAGGACATGGAGGGAGTACTAATGCAGAAAGTAGATTACAGGAAATGAAATGCCCAGCAAGTAATAGGGATTAACAGCTATATAGAAATTCTCTTTTGGGACTCCCTACGGTGAAAATATGTATTAAAATATAATATTTAACTTTCTTTTTAAGCAGATGATAGGGAATATGGAAATGTGATAGCTATCCACGAATAACACGTTCTTCTTATTCCCCCAGTCACATTTTGGAGCTATTGACAAGAGTGCTTTGCTGTGATAAAGTGCAGGGCTTAAAATGTTTTAGAGAAAACTTTACATGAATTTTGTATTATACCTATAGGTGAAAGGAAAAATGCATTCAATCAAACGTGTGTCTAGCTTGCCAAACAATGCATTAAGAAGTTCCTCCAGCAAGTCTTGAATGATGGGTTTCTTATTCCCTGCCGTACCTCAGCACTAAGTCTGTTTTGCTCACCGCTGCATCTCTAACACCAAGCGCAGTGCCTGGCATAACACACCTACTTGAATGCATGGACGTAGGGCTCTAGATCAGTTCTGGTCCCAGGGCTCCACCGAATAACTTTGCAAATAAAAGAAATAATTAATTTCTTTTGACCATAATTTTGTCCTTTGCAAAAGAGAGCACTTCAGTAGGATTGATTTCTTTTATTTGACAATTTATCTTTATTGTTGAAAGTAGTATAGATGTCTCCCCTTTTTTTTTTTTTTTTTTTTTTTTTTTATCCTCACCCGAGGACATTTTTCCATTTTTTTTTTGTACAGATAGAGGGGGAGGGAGAGAGAGGAAGGGAGAGAGAGAGAGAAACATCGATGTGAAGGGACACATCGAGTGGCTGCCACCCGCACGACCAACCAGGGCCGGGGACAAACTGCAACCGAAGTACGTGCCCTTAGCGGGAACCGAACCCGGGTCTCTGCGGACCGCAGGCCGACGCTCTAACCGCTGAGCCAAACTGGCCAGGGCTAGATGTCTCCCCTTTTATTCCCCCGTTGAGTAGGATTGATTTCTTAGGGATCCCTGTGGCTTTAAAATTTTGATTCTAAAATCTCAAATGGAAAATTTATGTTTGCATATGATGTTTGGTGTTGCTTTCATAATGTTTGTGTATAATCTCCACCGATTATTTTCTTCCAGCACAGTGAAGAGTCAAGAAGAATTTATTACATGATGGGAAATGAGACAATGTAGCTGTTGGAGTCTGATGAAGGTAATTCACCATGGAGAATAGAAGTTATCGTGAGCAATGCAAGTAGTGTCACCTCAAACACTAGCCAAGGGGTGCATCTTAGGCAGCTGTGGCAAGATTTTCTCCCTTCTAGGAGTTTGCAAGAAAACTTATAGGAAATACTCTTCCCTATTTCCAAATGAAGATGATGGAATAGATCTTCTGTAGTATAGTCTTTTGGCAGAGGACTTGAAGGAATCAGTCAGAACTCATACATTCTGCTCTCTTATGGGACAAAGATAATGAAAGAATTTTCTTTTAGAATTCTCTATACTGGTATGACAGCACTATTATTTTAAAGCTAAGTTTTTCAAATTCAGCACCCTTGGGACGTTTCTTTGGTATTTTGTTGATAAGCAGGATATATGATGTCTTTAAGACAGCCTGTATCAAAAATTGTTTTGTGAAAAGACTAATGACTCTTCTAGAACACACTTTTTTTTTTTTTTTTAAGAACAGAACAGTTTCTCTAAATAATATTTCACAGAAGAATGTTAGTTTTCTGGAGTATCAGATAGCATTAAAAAAATAGGTAGATAGGTAAGAAGATAGGTAAATAGATTAGGTTTGATGGATAGGATTTCATGTTTGGGAAATGCTGGGTTAAGCAAACTTAAATGCTTTTCTTGGTTGTGGGTCTTCTCAGAGCTTCTCATGTGCCCTTATGCTGTGTGGGTCTCCAGTGGCAGGTGTAGAGATCGGTAAACAAGTTTCCCCAAACATGTTTGTTTAAGAAACACCTTTCCCCTTCGTGTATTCTGTGGAACTGGAGCCTCAAGGAACACAGTTTGAGAAACTATCTATCCATGATGACCATGTAGAATTTTTAGTTTAGGCAAGGCCAAGGCAATTAAAAAATAAATTTAAAACTAGATATGGTATCAAGAGAAAATAGCATTATACTTGGCTATTTAGAATGATGTGTTATTTTGAATAAAGCTATATTTTTTATAAATTAATTATTCACCATAAGGTATTCTTTTTATGTCCAGTGCTTGTCAGCTGTGGCTGTATAAATATTAATTTATCCTAGGATTTAAATAACCAAATTGATAAATTATGAGTTGGCTAGAATCTTAGAATTGCCTAAATTGACATGAAAGTATTTGTTTTGAGAAATATATTTTAAATTATATAACCGACAACATATTCCACATTATAAATATTGTTATAGTTTATTTTCTCAAACTTTTCTGAGTATGTAGTACACATTGAGGAATATATAAACAATGAGCAAGTTTGTAAAAATGGACACAACAGACAGAATTGAAAGAGATGACTATTAATTTTTGAAACCAATGTTTCTGGAATTCTCAAATGGTATATCAGCATATGTTAACTGCAACTTCTCAGGTTTAATGATGTTTACAATTAAAATAATACAATAGCAATATAGGATTAACCATTATAATTAACTCATAATCGATTTTTTGAAGGGTGCAAAGAGCTTTTCATAATAAATTACTGTCCTTTAATCAGCTAATATAAAGCACTTTTAAGAATGTGACAAGTACATTTATATCTCATAAAGACTTTAACTTAGGTTAATGAAATGAGTTTGAATGATCCAGATTCTCTATTCCAAATCAGAGCTGTCTGACATTCTAGTGAAAGCTTTATTTAGGAGTTGAGCAATTCTTTGAGATAACAGGCTTCTGACTGTGCTATCTTGAATGTTATAGGTGAGTGGTTTTCCCCGAATCTTGAAGTCTTTTTCAAACTCTTTTATAAATGAATCGGATTAATAAAATATAAATAAATGATCTTTTTTGAATTTCTTAACCAGTTAAAAGAAGACTGACTTTTAATGTTCATAAAACTGAACTTTGCTCATTGAAATGTTATTGCCCCTTGGGAGGCTAGCCCTGGTCAATCTCTGGGATCCTGTTCCATCCACTCACACACAGTTGTGATAAGGAGAGTGAAGTGTGAGCTAAATAGGGAGGAGGCCTGGGTAAGGTCATTTCTGCCAGAACACCAGAGATGCTAAGATCTCAAGGGTGCTTTAGTACATAAACAGATGCTACGTTAGTGAATTAATATATATACACACACACACATATATATATATACACACACACACACACAGAGTAAAAATGAAGGTCCCTGTATTTGAGGATGTAAAGGATGAAACTGAAGAGGAAAAACCAGAGGAAGAAGAAAATGGAGAAGACAGGGTGAGTGGACAAGCACCTGCTGAAGAAGGGTATTTGTTTCTCTCAGTTAATGATTAGAAATATGTTTTCTTTCCCTTTTTTTCTGGACAGGTATTTTTTAAGCCAGTTATTGAAGATCTGAGCATGGAATTGGCCAGAAAATGCACCGAACTCATTAGTGATGTAAGTGGCTTAAGTAAATTTTGTCTCATTTTGCACTGCATGCCATAGAATGTTATGTCATAGACTCACAGAGCTGGAGAGAAAAGCCTGAAACCACCTATTAAAACACAGTTGTTTTCCGGATGATGGAACTGAGTCTAGAAATTTTAGGTGATTTCTCAAAGTCACCTGTACAGAGAATTTCTGTGGGAGCTGGTCTCTGTGTTCTCAATCCAGAACCCTGTCCCTTATGGATTTCGGTCATTCCGGCATGAATCAGAAAGCATTGAATTCAGAGCATATTTCTTTGAGAACCCAAAACCTTTATAATTTGTATAATGATGTACAATGTTTGGGAAGCTGTCTATTTAAATGAATGATTAAAAAAAAATTGGGGGGTCTTTTTGAGAAATCTGATGACTGTAGTAGTTTTCCAAACCAAAAAAGTGCATAATAGTTCCTGTGTGCACATAATATTGATTTGCAGTTTAGAATTTATGGATAATTGAACTGCATGTTAAGAACCCTGAACTAGATGATGATGATGATAGTAATAAAAAGGAGCATTTTTATTGTGATTTTTTTCATTAACTGGGATCGGTTTATATTATATTTCAAGGAAATCTTAGGAGTGTAGCACTAACTCATTTATATATTTTTACAGTAAATAATTAAAATGAATTCTAGAAGTACAAGGAAAAGAATTGCTCACTAGGGGTGAGAAATGAAATAAGATGATCCTCATTAAAAGAGTTGTCAGAGAATTGCCTTGTGGAAAAGATTTGTCAGAAAAAGCCAAAGCATGGTGGGAATCATACCTCTTCCCATATACTTGTCATATGATGTAATTAACTTTAAATTAAGCATTTCTTAGTTCCATTGTTAAATAATAGCCATAAGCTATGTATATGAAAGCCTGTTGTAAACTGTAATAATAATACTATCATGATAACAGTAAAAATGTTTGCAGTGGTTATGATTTATTGAGTGCCATGTGCTAGGCACTGAAGGGTGTGGGGCAGGGTCTGTTGTTTTCCACTGCAGAGGTCAGGAAGCAGAGGCTCGGAAAGGCTAAGTGACTTCGGGGTCACACAGCTAGGCAGTGGGGGACGGGACGCACACACAAAGCCTCGCTCTCAGCCATGTTGCTGTGCTCTCTCGCTGCAGATTTCTATGCAGTTTATCTTACCTTTATTATTAATTTTACACTAATATTAGTAATGGTGACACTGTCAACATTTTAATTTATTTTTTAAAGAATAAGCAATTTATTTTTTAAAAAATATGTTTTTGTTGGTTTTAGAGGGAGAAGAAGGGGGGGAAGAGGGAGAGAGAGAAACACATGGATGGGTTGCCTCCCACACTCACCCCGACTGGGAATCTAACCCACCACCTGGGCTTGTGCCCTGGCCGGGAATTGAACCAGCGACCTTTTGGTGCATGCTCAACCTCTGAGCCGCACCAGCCAGGGCACTACAAATGGCTTTATATGAAGCAGATGAGCTTATATTTGAAGTCATCTCTGTTATATTGTCTGCATGACTAAATGGTGGTCTAAAATGTGTATTTGAGGTTGCATTAATCATGGAGCTAAAACAGATATATAAATGGATGGATTACCACACACAGTTCGATGGAGTTCTAGACAGGGCTCCACATTTAATTTAGTGTGCCTGTCTTTTCCCTGGTCTCAAATTTAGTTTAGAGACAAACCTTCAAGTCCCTTAGTTTTGTTTTCTAATTCATTATATCCCGAGGGGCGTCCATGTGACCTCCGCCTTTTGTTTGTCTGAGGGCAGTCTGTCTGCAGCCCATGTCACCGCGAGAATTTGGTGTGTTGTTTGCCTGCTTGGTGGGGTCCTGCATCCTTAAGCTTTAAGAAGCAGCCTCACATTCCGGTGATCAAACCACACAGCTCATGAGACCCAGACCTGGGATTTGACACAAGGTCTGTCTGCCTCCCAAGCCTGGTCCACCACGATGCTCTGCCCTTCTCGCAGTGTGCCAGGCACTCCACGTACATTCTTATGCTCTGTGTTCCTGGTTCTGTGAGCCTCCGTTCAGAGGTGGTGCAACACTCTCTTACCCAAGGCCACCTGGCTAGCCAGCGATGGGGGCAGATTCAGCTTAGGTCTGGCTAAGTCCACAACCACTTGTCACTGCTCCATTTTATTTATTTTTTTTAAGATGGAAAGGATAATTTTATGGGGTTCTCTTCATGGAGCAGCCTTTGTATGTCCCCTTCATCATCATTGTAACTGTCCCTCTTTGTACCCCTTCTGCTTTTATACGTCTTCACTGGGGTGTGATAACCAGATCTGCACGCAGGAGTCCAGATATGGATGGCCTTTGGGGTGGGACGATGTTTCGCCTTGTTCCCTGTGCCCTTTGTGCTGATGTTTAGCCCCCTTGGACTCGGGGGCTACAGAGAGCTGAGATCAACCTCTGTAAGACACGTTTCTCAGACACTGTCAGTCCTCATTTCTGACTTGTAGCTGATTGCTTAGGGCTCATCAGCTTTTGATAGTAGTTCAAATGATTTCCCCTTGCTCGGCTGAAGGTCGTCCGTCGTGGTCTGCCCTCTGGCGTGGCCTTTGAGCGCTGCCCCAGGTCAGCTCTTTCGGTTTGACGTTTCCCTCTCCCTGAGAGCTTGGGGTCACCAGCAGACTTGCAGACTTTGCTGTGTCGTGTCCTTGCCAGATAATTCATTAAAATGTTAAGTAGGACTGGTCTAGAGAGAAGTCCTGGGAAGCCTGCACTATTTCGAATTCTCCGTTTTTCCGAGCAGGTGGCTGTACTTTGGGGATCAGAATGAGGCATTTTTCAAGTTTTCTCTGACCCACGTGGTTTCTGCCTTGCACTCGCCCTGCCCATGTTGCGGGGTTCCCCTGCACAGCCCGCTTCCCAGTGCGGAAGACAACATCGGGTCCTCTGAGGCAGCCTCTTCCATTTCCTGTTAACCAAGCCATGCTTCGTATTTCTGCAGACAACCTGTCTCTGTTATTTTATCCTGTTAGTCCACTATCTGCTCAACCCCTTGAACAAATCAAACCTATGGACGAGATGGAGCAGTCAGAATCATGGATCCAGTGGCCTTTTGTCAAATGGTCATAAAAATATTAGGCCAAAGGTGATCTTTTGTATGTTTCTTGTAACTCAGGCATAAAGTCTCTGCAGAGCATGTTCGGTCACGTCTGCACGAAGCCTCTGACTCAGGGCCTTGGTGAAGCCCTTTCTCGGCAGAAAGAATGTTTTCCAGGCCAGTGAGCACTGTGTTGTGGGTAAATCCTTCCAAGGCTGAACACATCAGATTTGCAGCTAGCGCTCCAGAGAGAGCTCGGAAGGTGGGAGAGCCCGGGCAGCAGGCTCGGCTGCGATAGCCCAGGTAACAAGTGGGAAGAGCCCTGGTGCTTTCTTCCAGGCCTTACTGCAAGTAGCAATGTGGCTGCACTGGAGAAAACCCTTTCTAGGTACTTTTGGTTAAGAATGCTTGTAAAAGGAAATATCCTCAAACGTTGCTCCATCTGTCACCCACTGGCAGCCATTAGCTGATCCCATACTCAAGTGAAGGACGCAGGTGAGGAAGAGGAGGCACCGCTGCTCCCTTCCAGCTCTCGCTGTAGTTGGGACCCGGTGGGACTGAGGGGCGAGGTGAAAGCAGAACGGACAGAGTTTGGTCATCTTTCTGCTCTGCCAGTCATCAACCGCGCCCTTGATTTCCTCATTCCGAACATAACGTGTGGGGTGTATTGGTTATGAGTACAGAGGGCTGCAAGTCACAGGGACACCCTAGCACAGAGATTTAATAAATAGGTATTCATTTTTTTTCGCTCATCCGGTCTTGGCATATCTGATGCTATTTGTTTCTCAGATTCCTTTCCTTGTGCTCTGTCAAGACTAGTATAGTGGCTCATTGCCTTACTGGGACATCGCTGCTCCTGCATCCCTGTGGCTGGGGAAGGAGAGAAAGGGGGAAGGACTATCGCCCACAAGCTCTCCCTTCATACCGGAGTCACCAGAGCCGTGCTGGGAAGACTCCACTGATGTAACCAGAGCGGGCACCTGCCTTTCCGGGCCAATCACTAGGCAAGGGCAGCGAGAAAACCAGGCCTGGTTTAGAATAATTGTCGTCTGGGGCTGAGGGAGGGGAACAGCTACTCTGATAAATACACTTCGGTTCTGTTATTAAGAAAGACAGAGTTGGATAGGCACTCCAGGTCAGAGACAGAGCGGCGCTCGCCGGAGGAATGTATACGCAGTGGCACCGGGAGAGGGCTGTGTGCTCAGTGACTGTGTCCCGCTGCAGGCTGTGTGTCAGTCGTTGGCATTTCCTTTCATCTGTCTTCTCCGGGTATAGGAAGCCTACTAATCGGTGACCTTTTTTTATGTAAAAATTTAAGATAAGGTGCTATGGCCATTCACATTGGACAGTTGATTAGAAATTAGAAACGTGTGTGTGTGTGTATCTTTTAAATAAAGACCAAAGAAAGGAATGGAGACCACACTTAAGATTGACTGGTTGGCCTGCATAGCAAAGGAAGCAAGTACTTCACCCTTATCCCTGCTGCTTTCCTGAACATTCTGCTCAGGTCAGAGCTTATCAGGAGGCGTGGCCTGGCGCATACCACCCTGCGAAGAATGTGAATGTGAGAAGAAAAGATGGTGGTGGAAGATAAAAATAATGAGGCCGACTTAAGCCTAATGACAGGTTATTTTCTCTCACACTTGTTATATAACGGGATACTTTTTTTTTTCTTCTCCCTCCTTATGATCAAAATAGCCTATTATTTATCATACTGCCTTTAATGGTTTAATTACTAGTGATTGAGGAGGGTGATTTACAGAGGCCTAAAATTATGGCTAATCTCTGAGAAGAAAAAAAAGTAATTTAGTGCTCAGAGAAGATAAATACGTTCTAATGTTGATTTCATGAATAAAGCAAATGTTTGATGTGGTAGGCATATAATATCTAAGAGTCACAGCAGTGAAATATGGTATTTTGAAATAATGTTACTTAGTACGTTCATATCTGGTTATGGTCAAATAATGCCCTTCAAATCAGGTTTGCCTGTGGTAAAATCCCTATGCAGTGTTTGTGCGTAACATCAATATTAGTCATGCCCATTAAGAACCGGGGACTATATAGAATTAAACTTTACTTTTAGGGTATAATTAGGGAGACCATGGGACCTTTTTTTCAGCCTAACTGTTTACATTTCTTGGGTAGATAAACATGACTTTATTACAGGGTGATATAACCTTTAGCAAATAACCTTCATCCTCTCAACTAGTCATACATTTTGTATCCCCAGTTTTCAGATTGGGCTGCAATTAGTGTGGTAGTGGGATTGTGTTTTTAGGTCCTTCTCCGTAATTCCTGACTTCTTCTTGGCTCTTGTGTCCATGTGAGGTCTTTCCCCAGAACAACAATTCTGGCCTCTTCCCAAGAAAAAAAGGAGTGACTCATTGTACTAGGGAGTACAAGTGGAGAAGTGAGCATGCTCAGCAAAGCCTCTCTGATCTTTCTCTTGCTCATCTGTTTATTCACAGTAAGGGGACATTCTGGAATAATCTCAACCATGTGGCGAACTTTCTGGGAAGGTTCTATTCTTGTTGCGAACGGGGAGGAGGATGGGAGGCCTATGGGTGCTCGTATATTGGATAAGTTCGAATTGAGTGGAATTAATTAGTAGCAGGAAGCCCATGGTGGCCATAATTTAAGTCCCTATTTCTAATCCAGCAGGTCTAGGTAATGATGCTAATATAATAACAATCTTCATTTGTTTATTTCTACCTCTACTTCTTAAATGGTTTCATATGTCCTGCTGTCTACTTGTTTTCAACCTAGAGGTAGGCAGCTGTATTTCTGTCTGACCATAGGCTTAACTGTTAAGGTCAGTGGCTTAAAGGTAATAAACTGGGCAACAGGATTCATAATTATTGTGAGTCCAACACACATGATCCTAGACCCTCGTTTATCTGAAGAAGAAGCTTTCTTTATTGTGCCTTATCACCTTTGCAGTTCTGTGCTGGACATCAGTTTATTTGATTTGGCTTATTTTGAACATTATTCTACATTTGAGTATTTACTTCAGAAAATGGACTTTCTCATATTAATTCTTCTGTTCAGCAACAGAACATTCGATTTGCTTTTCTTCTTCCTCTCATGTGAATTATTCTCTTTTAGATCCATTATAAAGAAGAATATAAAAAGTCTAAGGACAAGTGTACATTTGTGACCGACACTCCTATGCTAAACCATGTAAAACATATCGGTGCTTTTATTTCTGAGGTAAGATATCAAAAACTTGCAAAATGGCTCACATTTTCTTTTTATATTTATATAGATACAAGTTTGTGCTTTGAAGGTAAAGAATATTTTTAAAAGCACCACTGAATGTTGGAAATATCTACGAAATTTTGTAATTCTATGCACTATCAATTAACTCATGTAAATTGACTTCTTTTACTGTCCATGGTTGATATATTTTATTATATGTCTGCATTTTGACTCCAAACCTTTCTTATTTACATAGAATTATTCTTGAAAAGGGATGTGTGTGAGTGTGTGTGTGTGTGTGTATATGTATATATTTCTCACCTGAAGATATGTTTTTATAGAGAGAGAGGAAAGGAGAGAGAGAGAAATATCGATATGAGAAAGAAATACCAATCTTGCCTCCCATATGCGCCCCAACTGGGATTGAACCTGCAACCTTTTTGGTGTATGGGATCATGCTTCAACCAACTGAACCACCCAGCAGGGTATTGAAAAGGGGTATTTTTATTCAATAACTAAAAGGTACTGTCAAAATAGTTATAAAAGTTTCATATTTTATTTCCTAACAGATTAATTAGTTATAAATTATTGAATATAACTTGGAAAATAATTACCAGCTGATTCCATCAAATATGATACTTTTGGTTAAGTAATTTTAAATATATTTAAATTATTTTTGAGTAATAATTTAAATTATTTTTGAGGACGGGCTCAATGGAGATACTGGTGTGAAACCACAGAGTAAGATGCACTACATTCATTTTCCTGCTGAAAAATCATATGGTCTCTCTCTGAGAGTATTCAAGACCACAGTATGTGTTGCACTGAAAAGAACAGTCATAATAGTAACAGTGATTTCGGTGATGATGCATTTCTGTTGTCTACAAATGGATCATGTCGAAGAGATAAATTTGACAAGAGAGTGAATAAAACGGTTCATCTCTAGTGTTTCATATGTTGAAAAAAATCAACATAATATTCTCAGGATTATTTCTGCTACCATGAAAACATTGTGAGAACAATTAGTACATTTTTAAAATTAAGTACCCAAATCTGAAGAGTTATAGAAACGCAAGGTTTAAACAGGATACATGTTCAATAATTCAACGCTCAAATCTAGTTCTGAGTTGGAGTCATAGCAGAGACTTGTCGACAGAATGTGGAAAAACACAGTTTTGTTTATTTGTGTTAGCTGTTATTTCTCTCGTGCCAAGAAATTCTTGATGTCCTTAGTTATTCATTGATTCGTCTTCCTGAAGGAGTTAACTGCAGAGCGAAGTGGAAGTAGGCAATCTGTTGTGTTACTTTGAACCTAATCTTCCCAAGAGGAAATGGTGAATAAGTGTTTCTTTTTAAGAGTAATGATTGACATCACTTAGTAAGAAGTGTAGACTGGAGGTGTGAGGTGCAGAAACAGCAAAAAGCACCTCACCCCTCATTGTGGTGGGAGATTGAGGAGACTTGAATGAAGGAGCTGTCCTTGGCATTCAGGTTCTAGACAGGACATTCTGACAGCTTGCATTTTCTGGAGCAACTCAAATGTCTCATTGCTCTCAGATTTTTCTTTGCTGACCAAATATATGAAACTGTTAACACACACAGATAGATTTACTTTCAGAAATGCACATGGGTTTAAATAGCTACTTTCTTCTTCCATGTCTTGTTTAAAGCTCTCTCCACGGTTAACTGGATTTGTCTTTCTTCAAAACATGTTACGAAATAAGCCAGTCAGAGAAAGACAGTACCGCACCATCTCATTTATTTGTGGAATCTCATGTACAAAATAAACTGATGAACAAAATAGATCCAGAGACTTGGAAGTAGGGAACAGACTGACTAACCTCAGAGGGAAGGGGGTGAGGGGTGGGGTGGGAAGAGATAAAGCAAAAAACTTACGTGCATATATGCATAACCAACGGACACAGACAACAGTGCGGTGAGGGCCTGGGGGTGCAGGAGTCAGGTGGAGGGTGTCAATGGGGGAACAAAAGGAGGTCATCTGTAATACTCTCAATAATAAAGATAATAATAATAAATAATGTTCATCAGGTCCAGTACTGAGGATTAAAATGCTCTTCTGTTTTTTAAATTAATTCTGTTTCTGAAGAGTTTCTTTTTATTTTGTTTTAATATTCACAGTAAAAAAAGAAGACTGTTTATTTTTTCCCCCTTTATTCCTCCCTAGACAAAATACAAAGGCACCACGAAGGCAGACCTCTCCAATTCTCTTTACAAGCAGATGCCGGCCACAATCGACAGTGTCTTCGCAAGAGAAGTTACGCAGCTTCAGAGTGAGGTGTGCTTTTCCTAAACTGTTACATGATTATGTAGATAAAACACATAGCCTAATATAAATGATTCAGCATTTTTAAAAAGTTGTTTATTTTGAATAAAACATGAAAGTTGCATCGTGTTTTTCATTTAGAATACCTCAGGCTACCAAAAAGAGCCTCCATCAAGTGCAAGTGGCCATTTGGGTGATTGTAAGTTGCAGATGAACTTAAGAACTGTCATCATGTAAAAAGTCATGTTGAATCCACAAGAGTTTGGGAGTAATTTTCTCTTTATAGTACATCAAATACATAAGGAATACTTAATGCATTTAATTTGTTGCATTTCTTAAAACAGGATTTTCTAATAGAATATTTCACCTAACTCACTCATCTTACTGTTTTCTTTACAGCACAATATGATTTATTTTTTAATTTCTTTACTTTATGAATCTGTTACTTGGTTCCCCAAGCGATGTGAGAGCAGGGGCCTCATCTTCTTGTTCCCTGCTCTACCTCTGTGCTTAGAACAGTCCCTGGTACATAGAAAATGTTCCGTAAATATCTGCAAAATGAATTTTTATTCAATTTGTTGATTTCCTCTCCAAGGAAATGTTTTCTTTTACATAATTTATATTCTTCATGCTACATTTTAGGATAAAAATAATAGTAAACACATAGAAATGCTTACTAAATGTCAGGTGCTATTCTATGCATTTCACAAATATTTATATCGTTTAATCCTTACAAGCACTTCTTTCTCTGGATTCTTTTTACTTTTAAATAGAGGATACCGCCCTGGCCGGTTTGGCTCAGCTGTTAGAGCATCGGCCTGTGGTCCGGAGAGACTTGGTTAGGTTCCCGCTAAGGGCACGTACCTCGGTTGCAGTTTGTCCCCGGCCCTGGTTGGGTTGTGTGGGTGGCAGCCACTCGACGTGTCTCTTTCACATCGATGTTTCTCTCTCTCTCTCCCTCCCACTCTAGCTGAACAAAATATCTAAAAATTGTCCTCAGGTGAGGATTGGAAAAAAAAAATCAAACAGAGGATATCTACATCATTTAAAAATAGTCCAAAAATAGATTACTCTTGAAAAAATACTGAGCATAGTTATCCTTTGCATAACCTCTTTAAGTCCTTCGTTATTACAAATTTAAATGTCCACTGTGTATCCAACTTGGCAGTAAGCTAATCTTAGCTGTGCAACATGCGGCTAAAAATACATGATGTCCAAGTTTTCCATGGCTGGCCATGTGCCCTTTTTGTAGTTTGCTGCCCACATCTGACCACCTAGCCACTTGCTGATAATATGGGCTGCTCTACAAAGCGAATAATTGTAACACAACACTTGCTATGTGACAAGCAACAATTAAACAATAAAGAAGGAAAATTAAAAAAATCTATATTTATTTTTATACTTACTTGGGAAGGTAACATTTTTCAGAATGTTACATCTTCGTTGCTTTGGAAATGCACGACTTTTCTCGCTTTTTATAGCACAAATAGAACGATAGCATACAAATATGTGCAACATAGAACTTAACATGGAAAATAATCCATGTTATATATTTTGGGATCTGTTTTTTTTTTTTTTTTTTGGCCACAGTAGCCATCACTTACACTGTTCCTCTGTGTTGTCCTAGTAAAATATGCACCCTGAGAGAGAGGCTGTTCCTGAGGGGCTGTGCTGCCCAGTGTTGTAATTAGTCACTGAACTTGCTGATAAGGAAAACCTGGACCCTGAATAAGGCATCTAGTTCAGAGATTTATGTAATTGTAACAAAGTTTCTTTAGTCTTATGTTTATCAATTTTATTATTTTAAAAATTGTAGTCCTCAAAGCCTGCTTGGTAATAAGATAGTTACGAAAGTAAAAAGATTTGACAGTGTCTGTGATTAAAACAAAACAAAACTGCCCTGGCTGGTTTGGCTTAGTGGTTGGAGCGTCAGCCTACGGACCAGAGAGTCCCGGGTTCAGTTCCCGCTAGGGGCACGTACCAAATAAAACGAAACAAAACAAAACAAAGAAAACCAAACCAAACAAAAAAACCCTCATAGTATCAGATTTATGCTAACCTAAATTAGAGTATTAAACAAATCTGAAGTATAATGGCATTCTGAGTTCTAATGAAAAATCTAAAACTTTGACACTGGAACAAAACAGTATCTTAAAACCAATTTGCAAACATTCCCAAATGCTTGCATTCAAACTAGAGTGATAGAGTGAAGTTAGCTGGATTAATGCTCCTTATAGAAAATGACTAATAGAAAGAAGTGCCTTTCAAAAATGAGGGTGAGAGATGTGGAGATTTTAGAAAGCCATTTTATTAGATAGTCCTCATTAAAATTTTTATAAACACAGATCACAGAGAAAGCTTCTGGAAATGGATGGATTGTGCCATGAAGCAGTGAAATCCTTCTCCCCAGGGCTGTTTCAGGAGGAAGCTAAATAATCCATTAGCGCAGAAGTAGTACCAGGTACTCAGGCATCTGTACCAGTAGGTTTCCAGAGCCTGTGTTTTCACCTGTAGTGACTACAAGGTCTTTCTAGGAGCATCAGAGGCATCTGTGCTATTGATCAGAAGTACATCTACCTATGTAGCAGTTATAAAATATACTGTGAGTTAGAAATCTGTGTACACCTTATGTATGCATACATGAGATATAAAGATATTCTGTGTAACCAGATATGTAAGATAGATAAATATGTATAACTTATATGAGCATATTTATATATAAAGTATATAAGACCATCCCAAGTGCCCTCCACTAGGTAGGTGTCCAGTACGAGAGCAACTTTAATTCTCAGGGCATGCAGAAAACAAGTGTTAATCTAGGGAAATGCCACACAATAATGACACATCCCAGGAAATCACATTTATCAAGGAATTTGTTAGCTTGACATAATTTTCCATTAGCTGTTTTAAAGATGAAAATTAATATGATAAATTAAAGTTCAGCTGCTTCAAACTTGATGTAATCTTAATTCTGAAGTGGTGCTTTGTAGCAGCTATAAATGAAATGACTATTTTAATGCTGCAAGTAGAAAATTACATAGCCTTTTAAACAAAGAGTACTTTTTAAAACCCTGTTTGATGATTCACCATTTCTATGATAACCCACAAAATCATCAGCCGCACTGGCTATGTTTATAAAGCCAGAACTGTGATAGTCGGTCTAAGGTACAAAATAAACCCGGTGTTCAGCAAAAAGGAGACAGGCACCACCTAGCTCTTTTTATTTAAGTAGAAGGAACGTATCTCATAGAAGTTTTTGTCCTGGCTTAATAGGCATAGCCCCCCATTAAACTCCTCCTCCTCCCCCCAAAGATGTAATACAGAATGTAATGGAACTGAGTTAATGGACTTTCTCAGGCCGAATGGAGGTTCTTAATGGGTTTCCTGTTTAACATAATTAATTGGTGAAAAATGTAAGGATATGTTTATCAGAATTAGATATCCTAATGGATGAAATCACGGGGCAGACTCTGACAAGATGAATTACCCTGGGCTAACTTGAGGTACTGCATGTGAGTCCTAATAATCAACCAGATATGCAGGATTGGATGTGGGAACAGGGCTGGGCGGGACGGAACAAGACCAAAGGGTGTTAGTTGACAGAAATCTCAGCATAACCATCCAAAGGAAGCAGTGTGATCTCTGGATGCATTAATCACGTATAACCCATGAGAGATGGTAGTCTAGATTAAATTGAATAATTCTAATTGGGATAGGTCAGACCAGTTCTGAAGCACTGTGGGCACCCTAAGAAAGAGATGGATACATTGGGATTTGTGCTGAGAAGTGCATTTAGGGAGTTTAGGGGTTCAGTGCGTCAACCCACAGACAGTCTGGAAGCAGGGAAGTCGCTGAGAGCTGTGTTCCCGTGTTTAAAGTTCTGTCCTGTGAACTGGACTCCTGTGTGGCCAGAGAGAGGCAGCTATGGGCAGATAGATTTGGGTTTCAGTGAAGGAGGGACTTTCTATCAGATTTCAAAATTTTGAGACAATTTGGTGTTCACCCAGACTGAGTTCTCTTTTATTAGTTTTCAAAAAAACAAAACAAAACAAAAACTCAGTAGAGGAAGCAGAGAGGGGATTTAAACATTGAAAGTTATGCTTTTGTTTGTGTGGTCATATTTGATGATTTTAGTTTTTAAAAATTGGTTTTGTAATTATTACTTTAATCCTTTAGAGAAGTATATTATCTAAGTCAAATGGGTGGTTCTGTTTATTAAAGCCCATGGGGAGTTTAAGTTCATGAGAATGTTTAATAAACTAGTTTATTCATTCACTAAACATGTATTTATAGACATAGCTCTCAAGGAGATCATATTGGTAAAAAGTTTCCCCCTAAGTTTAACTTTATTCTTTTTCATAGAAAATTAGGTTTTGTTTTGTTCTTGGTAAACACTTTTCTAATCTCTCTCTCTCGCTCTCTCTTTTTTTAATCCTCACCCTAGTATATTTTTACATTTATCTTCAGACAGAGTGGGAGGGAGGGAGGGAGAGAGGAGAGAGAGAGAGAGAGAGAGAGAGAGAGAGAGAGAGAGAGAGAGAGAGAGAAACATCAATGTGAGAGAGACACATCAACTGGTTGCCACCTGCATGACCTCAACTGGAGTTGGGGACGAAATGCAACCGAGGTACGTGCCCTTGGATGGAATCAAACCCGGTCTCTTTGGTCTGTGGGCTGATGCTCTAACCGCTGAGCCAAACTGGCCAGGGCCTGACCTCTCTTTTTAAGGTGACTTTATTCTCTTGGGCCAAGTAATTCTAATCCCATTTAATATCTTTTTATTATCAAACCTTTAATAAATATTTACAATTAATTTTGAAGAAAGTTGTTCCTGTTTTATTATTTTCATTCATTCATTTATTCATTTGAGCAAATATTTATTACTGTTTACTCGTGCCAGTCACTGTTTGGGGTTCTGAGACTTCAGTGAATCAGACATTTATGTTCTATCTAGTAAGGGCAGACAGAAACAAAATAATTTGACATATAGGAAACAAAGTAATTAACAACTATGAAGGAAATAAATAGGATAATGACATAGACTGAGAGCAGGGGATAATTTGTTTGTTGTCTTCAGGATCTTCTTTTATTTCCAACTCTCTTGTTGAGTTTGATTGCTTCTGTTTCTGAAGTAAGCATGCTCATGGCTTCTCATACTGCTCAGAATGCTGACGCGTGGCTTCTGTCCTGTGAGGAGCACTTTTCACTTGCTGGTAATGGATGGCGTCGGTGCGATGCTTCTCTCTAACAGAGGACAGGGCTTGACAGAGCTGAGCTTTCTGCCTGCATTATATTTTCTCCCAAAGGTTAAGGCATTTAAATAGTATAGCTGTGTCTTCATAAAATCATAAGAGTTAATTTAAAAATGAACAATTCACTTTTAAATATCCAGTCATTCCCCCCACTTCGTCAGTTGCTTTCCCAATATTTAAACCTTGAACACTTAGAACCCTAAACGCTCTCGGGTGTGGGAGATTTCCCAAAATCCTAGCAGAGATTTAAAGCAGGTGAATACGAGAGTTGGGATTTCAGCCTGTGGTCAAGGACTTTTGAAATGAGTGACAAAGAATTAGAGTTAGGAGCCTAAACGAAAGCACTAAAATGAAAGCGTTATGTGTATTGTCTTGTTACGGAGGCTCAGGCAATTTGACCATCAGTTGTAGTATTCAAATATATAAAATCCTAGCCTAACGCTGCAATTTAACAGTAAGAATTTAACGCACCTGTAAGTGAGAGTAACGGCGTGTGTGTGTGTGTTTCAGATCGCCTACAGGCAGAAACATGATGCGGCCAGAGGATTCTCAGGTTACGCCCACATGAAGGAACCACCTGAGATCAGACACGCCATGGAGGTCAACAAACACCAGAGTAACGTAAGGGAGCCACTCCTCGCGATTTTCTGGAAAATTGTGGTGAACTCACAGTCATGGATATTTGTTGAAATTTAAATATTATGACACTTCTATTCAAAAAAGACTTAAAAAAATTTTTTTTCTCTCTCTCTGTGTTCAGTCAGAAAGACGTGAATTATTGTGTTCACAGTTATTAAAACCTTGCGGAATGCCTTTAAAATGCCCGGTACTTGCAGGCATTGGAAATTCTGCTTTGAACAAGACATGTGGATGCTTTGACCTATTGGGTTATTAGCATTTCTTAGGAACTTCTTGACCTGAGGGCGAAGCTCCGGTGGTTTCCTGTCTAGGCTTGCAGAAGAATCGAGAAAGAACGATGCCAATCAGTGGCCCAGGGAAGAAGCATTCACCGATGCTAGCAAGATCGTACTGTCTCTTTGGAATGCTTGCGGGGAGCAAAGCATCGGCCTTGAGACTGTGGTGAAGGGGAAAGCAATAGATGCCCAATGGCTGGCTTAGAAGCAGAAGTCAAGAGAGGAAGCGAGCCTCTAGAAAACGAACTTCTCCTTTGCTAATAAGTTAGGAGGTACATCAAAGCCTTCATGTGTTTGCTCAATTACCACTACTCTCAGGGTTGCCTAGAAGAAATATTTCTTCCTGAAATCTCAGGGAAAGCTTATTTATCATGAATTCTCTGCTTTCGAGAAGGGCTATAGAAGCTGTCAGGTTCTTTATGGGTTAGAATCAGTTAAGATAAGGTGTCTGTCCTAGCTGGGTCAAGGAACTCTCTTTTATTGAAAAGTACCTGCAGCATCTTCGCCATCTTACACGGGTCGGCCCCACCACGCATTCTCTTGCGGACAGCGCTTTGCGGACCTGTGCCCCTGGGCCGCAGCTGTGCAGTCTCTGCAGGGCGGCAGCAGGTATCTCGTATTGAATTGCAATAGGTCAGTGCTGAAGTAAAAACTGAGTGAGGTTTTACATTTTAATCCAAATGTATAAACATATGCCGATGCCAAAGCACTTTTCTAAGATGGTTTGAGACTGATGAGAGATGAGGAAACTACATGTCTGTTATTACCAGCAAGGTCATTTGAAGGGGATGCTTTATAAGAACAGTTTGCTTACAGGATGACCATAATAATCATAATAACTACCTCTTAGGCAGCACCGCTGTGTAGCAGAACTGTGCCAAGACTTTGATCATCTCCAATTCTCACAATTTCCCTGCACCGATTTCCATTTTGTAGTCAAGGAAAAGGAGACTAAAGAATACAGCTCTGAGTTCACTCTTTCTGTGAGTCTCTGCTGCCTCCCTCAGAAAGGTCACTGGTTATTGGTCAAGATTTTAAATGAAGTTTATTAAATGGGCACAAAATAGGTTATCAGCATTCAGATCAGCGGCTCCAGGGCACTGCAGAAAAGAAGAAGGTGGTGGTGGTGGGTTGGGGAGGAGCTGGCATTACACACATCCTCAAGAGGCCCTTCCTAACTCTATAATTCAATGAAATTCAAATACGGAAGTTCCTTATCATAGAACCGGGGTTATTATTTTAAGTCTGCCTTTTCTTTTGAAAGGTCTTTGATTGAGGGATTGAGGGAATAGAGTATAAAGCCCTTTTCTCCATTCAATACTGTGTACTTATGGGAGAAGGGTGTATTTACTTACACTCCTCTGTCTAACCAGCTCAACCTTTACATGCGAAGTTTGTACATATAATAGGATTTAGAAAGTGTTTAAGACTATTTACTCAGATTTAAGTGAGGAGGATATTTGTATTCTATCTGTGAAGTAGTTGATATTCCTCAAGAGTCAAGTCACTTAGAATAATACATTTGTTGTCCCTGCAATATGAAATTTAAACGTAGGTCTTAAAAGCCACAAGCAGAGCCAGTGCCTCTACCTCGTGGTTCAGCCACGGGGCTGCAGCGTCACCACAAGACTCAACCCTGCCTCGCTCAGTCCAGCGAAACTCACTCGTTTGCAGAGAATCGACTAAGAATAACCCTTTTGCAACATGGGATGTTATTTCACACTAAGCCTGTAAATGACTTGATTTAATTGAGAATCAAATGTGTTGTCACATGTACACCTACTCTGCCTAGAAACAATGCAGGTCGGCATCATTGCTTACCTTTCTTAGGTTTCCATCCAAATCAAGTCAGCTTTGGAATATCTGTCGGAGACCTAAGAAACTGGGACAATGATAGTTCAAAGCTTTTAATTTCTGCCTTCATGCCACTCAAACCTTTTACTAAAACATTCACCAGTGGCCCACAGGAGACACTTTGTTTTAGAACCTCCCTTTCCTTTCTACCTTTGTAGAACGTGAATGAGCAGAGGACGGGGAGCGGATTGTGACTGGCCAACTGAATTTTTACCTCCGAAGAGCATCCAGGGGCAGTTAGTCTCTTTTATCATCCCTAAACTCATTGATCATGAAACAAGGAAAACTTATTTCTCAGGATATCCTCCCCTGTAGCATACAGTAGAAGAGGAAGCTGGAGTCAGACCAGGGTTAAAATGCTTGCTTTGCCCCTTGCTTGCATGACCTTGGACAAGTCACTAATATCTCTCAATTTTGGTGTTCTCGTCCTAAAATCAGGGCAGTGATTTTTATCTCATTAGGGTCCCAAGTGTAAAATGAGATGATAGGTGTGAAGTGCTCTGAAGAAAAGCCCCCTCCATAAAATGTTAGTCCCAATTCGTCCCCCTCCAGTTTCAAAGGGTGATTTCATAGTTAATTCAAAACAATCTAAAGAGGTAAGATTTCATTAAAAGTCCAAATCAATATGAAATTTACATTAAGCAACATTTAGGTCAGAAGGGCATATTCAAAAGCTTCTCGAACCCATATAACTTACCTGTTTTGCTGATACTATAATCAAAAAATGATTAAAAAGAGCCAATCTAAATCCTTTTGTATCTTGAGGGATGTATCCCTGCCAAGTTTTTCTAATGTAATTAGAGAAACTGGAGGTTTCTATCCTGTTGCTTTTCCCTAAAGATGGGCTTGTAATGAAAACCCCAGTAACATTATTAGTTCTCATCAATCTTACCAGAGACACGAACTCCAATAGTTCTGAAGTAAGTCAAACAAAATTTAAGCTGCCATTTTAAGTTTTATAAGTAATGTGGTCTGTATAGACTTGTCATGAAATTGGAGTGGTCAACTTTTCCAAAACACCATATTGGTAATCAATTCAATGTGCATTAGAAAGAAGTATTCAGCAGGGGAGAGAGACTTAGTGTTCTTTTCAAGAATGATATATGTGCTTTCTTAATGTTAATAAAAACTTATCAGCAGACAAAATTTCTATTTCATCAGAAAGTGAAAAAACTTAAAGATAAATCAGTAGAAATGATGCTGGGAAAACATTTCTGGTGCTATATGGTTTCTTGATGTGACTTAGAATAATAATGCTTCAGGAGTTAACATTAAAATAGGTGTATTAGTATCTTGTCCATCTCTAAGACAGAATGGTCAGTAATATCTGTTCTGCCTCATTCATAATATTGTAGTGATGATAAAATTAAACCATGAATAAGAAAACTTTGTTGACTCTAAAATGCTCTTATAAACAATGACAGTAATAATAATGATAAACTGTACTGGATACAGCTTCATATGTTCCTTGATCTTTTAGAGGATTGAAAACTTATTTTTTCTGATGAATATCGGATCTTCCATTTACTTATACTTAAAAGGTTTACATTCTCTTTTAAAAATAATATTTACACTTTAATAATTTAGTGTTTTTTGTTTGTTTGTTTGTTTTTTTAATACAGTATGCCCAGACAGAAATAAGCCTAAGATAGCATTTCCAGTGTGTATGCCCCTTTGATGATACCTGGAGAGCTTTTCTAATGTGAGAGTTTATGATGATGATAGAAGTATTTCTTGAGAGTTACAACTGGTTACATTACTCACTTCTGTCCTACAAACTTAAAAGATACATATCCTCCCTAGTTTCTTCTTACTAAGAATCATGTTAACCTTCACCAGAGTAGAAAGGGAATGAATGGTTCTGGGCCAGTTGGATGTGGTTTCTTGAAGTCTGTCTGCTCACGCTACCCCAACAGGTGTCTCTCTGTGGCTCCCATCTTGGCTGCTGCCCCTCAGCTCTCAGTCTTCACATCTTCAAGTGCTTGAACTTCACTGTAAAAGACAGTCTTGGGGGAGGTGTTGCTTTCCTCTAGTTTATTAACTCACCTATTGCTGTCTAAATATAAAAAGCTTGCTGCAAAGTCACCGGAGTTCTTTGTCACATGTCTGGCTTTACAGGGAGAATAATGGCATCCATTTCTCTTCTGTTTTCTAAATCAAATAAGTCTCTTATTGGCCAAATCTAACCTAGAACGACAAAAGGAAGAGGATTCAGGATAACTAGTTTCATTGGCACGGTGTGTGGTCAGAACTCAGTTGAGTATAGACAGCTCAGTACAGCAGGGCTGGCGTGAGGATTTAATAAATTAACGTGTGCAGAAGACTTAGACCAGTGCCTGGCATGGTGAACTCTGCACGGACATAGGAAACACGCAGCAGCTGTGGCCTCATGAAACAGAAGTGGAAGCTTGTAAGGAGAGAACACTCTGAGATTCAAAGACAGAGTGAGTTGAAAAAAGAAGCTGAGAGGGAGTGAACATGGTGAGAGAAGGGAGAAATTTAATGACATATTTTGAGAGAATTAAAATCTTTATTGGAGGCAAAAGGGGGCAGATTTGACAGTGAAGAAAAATTAGTGCAGCAGAGGCTGTGTTAGTTTTAGCAGTTTCTAGATCCATTGAGAGAAATCCATCTCAAGTTAGCTCATAAAAAACAAGAATTTATTGGTGTGCATAACTGGAAAATTCAGGCTACCTTCAGGCGCAGCTGGATCCAGAGGCTCCACAGTGTCACCAGGACTCTGTCTCTCTCTGTCCCATCTCTTGGCTCTGCTAGCTTCTGTGACTTCACTTCCAGACACACTGTTTAGGTGGTCTCAAGATGATAGTTAGTGTTTTTGAAATTAATCTTTACAGCAGCTGATCCCAGATGTAAGGACAGCACCTCTTTCTCTCCCAGCCTCAGCTCCTTCGAAGGACTCTGGCCCTGCTTGGGTTACGTCTGCTCTCCTAGTAATCACGGTTTTCAAAGGGATGGGGTATCTGCCTGCAGATCCTGTCAGGTGGCCACTCCTATGGCTAGGAAAGTAGGCTGCATATGCTAGCTCCACCAAATCACATGACGCGAGGGGGGGGGGGGCAGTTTCCATATAAAAAAATGAACACATGCCTACTACAAAGGAATAACCTAGGAAAATGACCCATGTTTTTATACCACCTATATTCAGACATCCTTGCAAATAGTGAAAACTAGAAACTTGCTGCTCTGTATCCCTCAGCATAAGCCCCCGTTCCCGTGGGCTGTCCCCAAACAGCAACACTCTGGAAGAGCTGACTAGTGACCAGGCTCCTGTGCGTCTCTCCTGTGCAGCTCTGTGGTGTCCGCTTGTTTGAATTTGCAGCTCACGTCAATCTTAATATTTGTTTTGAGTCACATATGCCGGCCTCTAATTTGCAATTTACATGGATGATGGGGCCCCATTCAGAGTCCTGCTCCTGCCGCCTTTGTGCTGTTCACCTCTCTTCACTCCGTCGTTAGGCTGAACAGCATGTAATTAGGCAACGCATGCACAGCTTAGATTTCTGAAAGGTTGCAGCTCTTTTAAAGAAGTCAGGGTTTCCATTTTACCTTCATTCTTTTCTAAACAAAAAGATGCCCCGCCCATTCTATGGTTTTCATTTGAATGTAGTAACATAGAAACAGGGAGTCTCATAGGTGGTTAATAATTTTGGCTTTTTTTTTCACCTGAGAGTTGGTTTTTGTTTACACAGCTTGTGTTTAGTTCAGTGCAGGCTGAGATTGATTGGCCACCATTTGTGGGTGAGTGTGTTGCTTTTTGAAACCAATAAAATTGGATTATTTTATATCTCTGAAGATTTAAAATCCATCCAACAAAATAACTCAGTTTTTAGCTTATTTTTTCATGTTTTTTTTTGGTACCTGTATGCACAAAACCTACCTGAAAGTACTTCTCAAGATAAAGCACATGAAAACAGAAATACTGACGAAAACACATTTCTTGTTGACATTGTGCTAATTGTATTTCAGCTGTTCACTTGTCAGACAAGTTCATGAGTATAAACAGAGTTGAAAAAATAGTCTTGATGGTGAGGCACACACAAGCTCTTAAAAAAGCAAATAGAAATGTATCTAAATGTTTTATTAAAATAAATAATATGATATATAGAGAGCCTGTCTATTGAGATCCTTATACATTATCATTTCTTATACTTGATATTATTTTTGAAAGAAGTAATGTACTAATGTTTTTTTTTAACCCTGCAAGATTGAAAAGAAAATAACAAGATACATTGAATTATCTAGAATATTGATTCATAGTAGTCAACTAAATTTAAAATAAGTACCCCAGATGATGCTACTGCAGGAAGTCTGCAGGCAATATTAGAAATGCTTGTTTTATACAAAATGTAGTTAATTGTGCATTTATATAGATGTTTAGTTGTATATTTCTGTGCTCCACCCTTTTGTGCCTTGGAAAAATGAAGATGAATTTTATTTTTGAAATCGTTACCATGCCCTGTGCATTACAACTTTAGTAGAACATAATATAATGGACAAGGTGACAAGCCCTTAGTGATATTGCCAAATAGAACTGCTTTTGAAAAGTAGCTGAATATTCTTTCAGCTCATGACTAATCTCACGACACAGAAGACGGGGACAGATTGGTGAGATGTTGACCATTGAACATTATACCAGTTTGCTTCTGGTCTATTGCTATGTCAGTTGAGTTAATGTAAATGACCACTGTCATCTAGAATACAGTTGGCAAAAATTTTATGTATTTTTCTTTTAAAATGTCTGTTTTCCACACTTTGGTTTGTGTCAAACGTGCATTTGGAGGATGGGATATTCTGTAATGTAATTGCTTTTATTTTGGGAGGATCAAGTCATTCCAATGATACTTAATAGATAATAAAACTATCAGTACCCATGACTAGGATTTCCAGATGTGGGCATTTGAAGAGTCCAGTCAGAAAAGGGAGCAGAGGTGTGGTTGGGTGGGTGAAAGCTGGAGAGGTACAGAGCTTCACACACCCTCCCCCCAGAAGTGATTTTCTGTATTCATGTGCTGGGCTTATCCTGCATCCACTAGGATACAGACTGCATGAAGGGCGAGTGAAAGCCCTCGATGAGGATGTTATTTATGTGAATATGTGTATTCACACTTACATACAATGACATGCATATAAGGGTAGGGTATATAAAATCCTTTAAGATTGGTTTTGTGCCAAGGTCTTGGGCTCATATTTTTGATGTTGTATGAATTCGGTTCATATGTCTTAATGTTATTGAGGCATAGGTATAGTAAAAAGAGAATATATCCAAATAAATGTTGCATTATGCAATAACTTGTGGTTGGCGCTCTAAGGTGATTGTAAGAAGGATAAATAATGTTGTGGGCATTAAGGGTAGTGGCTGTATGAAATTACTAATATCTTTTTTTTTAAATCAAAACTGTCTCTTTGATCAGATTTCTTATAGAAAAGACATGCAGGACACCCATGTGTACAGTGCAGGGCTCGACAGACCCGATATCAAGATGGCAACGCAACTCTCCAAGATCATAAGCAATGTAATCACCTTTCTTATCTTGAGCAGAAATGATTTCTTATTGTTGCAATAACACAGCATGGCTTTGGCAGTTGGATGGTTAATTTAATGGGTGAAAGTAATCATCTCAAGTTTTAAGTCTGTATTCTCCATCTGGCTCTAAATAATTTGGGTATATGCAGAAACTGCCCAAACTCAACTTGCCTATGGCTAGTATTATCATACTTTTAAATCAGCGGTTCTCAACCTTCCTAATGCTGGGACCCTTTAATACAGTTCCTCATGTTGTGGTGACCCCCAATCATAAAATTATTTTCATCGCTACTTCATAACTGTAATTTTGCTACTGTTATGTCTTAGGCAACCTGTGAAAAGGTCGATCGACCCCCAAAGGGGTCGCGACCCACAGGTTGAGAACCGCTGTTTTAAATTAATCAATACTATTCGGGTTTAAGAAAACATTCAAATGTCCCAGCTTGAAAGTCAAGGTTGTTCGTTATCTGATCACATATTATCTCTTACCTCACCCTGTCCAAAAGAATTTCTTATTTTCTGGCCTTGTTCTTATTTGTGGCTGCTCATTGTGCAGATTCTGCCTGCCAGCATCCACCCTCGCCAGTTTTCCTGACGTCGTGGCTGGTTCTCATCTTCTCCAAGACATCCTCCTTGATTAATATTTTTTTGAACATCCCAAACACCTGGTTAAAAATGATGTCCTAACTTGAACCAAATATTTAAATAACAGGCTATACACACCTTAAACATTAATAATTAATAATTATTTTCTAACTTTCCCTGCACGTTAATCAAATAGGGTTAGACCGGTTCCCGAGACTACACAAGGCCATCAAAGCTATCTGTATGCTCAAGGCAGAGGCTCAATGACCCTGCATTTTCTGAGTTTTTTTTCCCCCCGATGTTTATATATAAACACGATGGTGGTGATGATTTGGGTACGTGACTCAAAATGAGTAATTATTTTACTACAAAAATGCTGAGTTTATTTAAATAGCCATATGATAAAATTAATTCCTGATCTAGCAGTGGGCATTTTAGAATTTGGTGAATTGTAAGGAATATTCTTATGGACTTAGGGTCATATATCTATATCCATATTTGTATATCTATGTGTATGCATTTGGCTAATGTCAATGAAATATTCCTTTGGAAAGTAGAAATATGTAACATTCCCTCATTTATTCATTTTAGGCAGAATACAAAAAGGGGCAAGGCGTGATGAATAAAGAGCCTGCTGTAATTGGAAGACCAGATTTTGAACATGCTGTTGAAGCTTCTAAACTTTCTAGTCAAGTAAGACTGTACTGATGATTTCACAATGATTTTATTCAGAGATTTTGTTTCTAGCAGTGCAGGAAAATATTTCATTTTAGATACTATCTTTAATTGCAAGAATATGCAAAGATAATGTTTCTTAAACTAGTTCAGATAGGATTGCAATAATTATAAAATCCACTATGGAAAAAAAAAAAAGTCCAATTTAAGCTTAAAACAAAGTCTTCTTTTTTCTCAGCTCAAATCCTAACCTTTTTTGATGAGTTTAGCCATATTGTCACATTTCTCAGGATTCCTAGAATTTAGCAGTAGTCATACCAAATAATTAGATTTCTATCTACACACACATATGCACTTTAACTTAGTAATAAAAATATGAATTTCTTCATTTCAAAATGCTTCAGTTTAATCATGAACTTAAAAAGAGTGATGAAAATGAAGAAAACTTTGAAATCTTATTGAAGAACATAAAACAAGATCTGAAAAAGTGTAAAGACATGACATGCTTTTGGACAAAAGTCTCAATAGATAAAAATTTCAGTTCTTTCCAAATTAATATATAAATGTCATGCAATTTTGATTAGTTTCCAACAGGTTTTTAAAAAAAACATGGATAAAATGATCTTAGAGTTTGAATGAAAAGGAAATGCCCAAGAATAGCCCTTAAAAGTATGAAAATGAAGACCAGTGAGGGAGAACTTAAGTTACGAGTTACCATAACATAATATAAAACCACTGAAATTAAATCAATATGGGATTGGTATAGTAAGAGATAAAATAATTAGTAGATGAAAAGAGAATCCTGAAATAGATTCCAATATATATATAAACTTAATATATGATAAAAGTGTTGGTTCAAGTCAGTGGGAAAATGTTGGATTAGTTAATAAATGGTGCTGACATTACTGGTCATCCATCAGGGTAAAAATAAAATTGGACCTGAATCTTAAACCATATAAAAAATGAATTCCAGATGGATTAACTCTGTGAATGTAAACAATAAAATAACTTTAAGATCTTAAAGAGAAAATCCAGGAGACTACACATATCAAATAGAGATAATACAGTTGTTTTTTAAATAAGACTAGAGATGCAGAAGGTATAAAAGAATAATTAGATATACATGACTATGTAAAAATTTAAAACTGTTTCAATGGAAAAAGATAACATTTGCAAAACCAACAATAATTTTAGCAAACAGTAAATTTTATATACTTAGTGTTTTCCACTTTGAAAATATCCATTCTTCAAGTTTCAAAAGTCCTAATTACATAGCACAATGAAGAGATGTAAATGAGTAAAACTATAAAATATAACTGAAGAACATAAAATGATAGAGTTTATATGGAGAAGGAAGTGTCTCAGAAGAACTTTTTCCATATAAAAAGAAGTGCAGTGGTCTGCAAATATTTGAAAAAATATTTGTAACACACGCGATGACAACATTTTAATATCTAGAATATACAAAAGTTCTTTTTCTTTTTAATCCTCACAGGAGGATATTTTTACATTTATCTTCAGACAGAATGGGAGGGGGGAGAGAGAGAGAGATAAACATTGATGTGAGAGAGACACATTAATTGGTTGCCACCCTCATGACCCCAACCAGGGCCAGGAGTGAACTGCAACCAAGGTACGTGCCCTTGGCCGGAATTGAACCTGGGACTCTTTGGTCCAGGGGTTGACGCTCTAACCGCTGAGCCAAACCAGCCAGAGCCAAAAGTTCTTTTATATTGAAAAAAAAAGGACAAACAGCCTGGTAGAAAAATGAGCAAAGGTGAATAGGCAGTTCACAGAAGAGCAAATATAAATAGACAATACCCATTGAAAAAGATGCTCATATTTATTTGTAGAAAGGAAAATGCAACAAAGTAAACACAAAGTGTTATTTGCACCCATCTTGTTCTGTGAGTGTGGAGAGGACCTCAGCCAGGGGGGTGTAATGAGAAAGGTCTGTGTAGGAGGTCGGTTTGAGCTACCTTGGACTTAGAAAGCTTTGCTCAGGGGAAGACCCTAGATAAAGGTTGAACGTGAGTGACAGAGGAGAGAGGCCTGACACCAGAGGCAGGCGACACAGCAAGGAGATGTGGTCATGAACACACACGAGGATTTGTGATGATAAACGAGCAGGGTTTTACTCACCTGGGCTACAGGCCGTCACACTGAGAGACTGGAGTAGAATAATCTGTTCTAAAAACAGAAAGTGATTTCAGGATGTAAAGTGGGGAGCGTTTTAGAGTGGAATCCAGAAAAGGCGTCCCCAGCACCGCTTGCCACCACCTTAACTGTCATCTCCCAAGCAGCCTGTACTTCCAGGTAAGAAATGTGTTCCCCCAGAAGACGCTGGCCAGAGAAGCCCTGTGAAGAAAATGCTATTTAGGGAGGGTTAGTGTGGCAACTGCAGGAAAGGCTGGCCTCTGAGGGGAAAGGCCCAGAGGCCGGCCGGTGTGTCTGTGATCATCCACCCGCAGAGCAGACAGGCCTGAAAAGACCTCGGCCGTGGGGGCGCAAACGAGACCGAGGGACAAGCGAGGGACGCCCGCATGTCAGTGCGCCTCACGCTGACTGGGTCACAGTTCAAGGCACCGTCTCCTACGAACAACTTTGTGACTCAGGAGGCTGCTGCTACACTAAGAGACGGGGCCATTCTAACGGGGGGCCGAAGTGCTGGGACCCGAGCTCTCCTCGTCCCGTGACGCCTGTTGAAGAGGCGGCAGGTGTTGGCACATACCTGGCAACCCTTCTGGGATCGCCCTTCTGGGATCGCTTGCGACTCCCAGCATAGCTACCTGACTTCTTAGGATTCCAGCCTTTTCTGGGGGCAGAGCTTTTCCCCCTCGACTTTTTAGGAGAAGCAGCAGGTTCTAGAAAAGCCGTGTGGTTTGGTTGAGTAGTTGAGAAAGGGCCGTGAACTGCCCCAGAGCGCCTGGGCCTGCCGCTCCAGGTGGAGCACCTCGGGCACCTTTTTAGCTTCTGCATCTGTAGCTTCGTGGGAGGTGAAGTGGGCGTGGCCGCAGTGCCCACCTGTTGCGTGGTTGGGAGGGTTGAATGAATCACTTACTGCGAGGAAAGGCCTTCGGCACCCCCCCCCCCCCCCCCGTAGAAACAAGGTTTCATAGGAATAATTTTGCGGGAGACATTCCGAATAGTTTTCCCTCCCCCTTTTGATATGAACTCACATACAGAATGAAGCAGGAACAGTAACATTGGCTCCTAGATGCTGGTCTTAAATTCCCTCCTTCACAATCTTATTTGAGAGCACTTAGAAGAAAGTTTCGGTATTTGGGCTTTAATTTTCACATATTAAATTCAGTCACCCCAAATCTTACCATTTGATTTCTACATGGATTTAAAGGCAGATCAAAAACAACAACAACAAAACAAAACAAAACCCTTTCGAATCATTAGCAATGGATGATCCGATACTTAAGCAAATTGTAATTTGTAAGGTGTACCTACCATCTTTATTTTTTCATAGCATTCTTACTGAACTCATGGTGTATACGATCATCAGAAAAGGCGAGGGCTGGGAGGATGAATACACAGGACCTCTGGAATGAACTCAGGATGTTCCAGTTGGCTTTTCAGTGTATTAACTAGAAACAAGGGCAGGAAGTGTAGTTCTTTGTTTTCATTGACAACTTTGAAGCTCATGTGTTGTCTTGCTTTTAAACTAATGACAGATAGTGAATACAGGAGCCCGCAAGCAAATAGATACATAGAAAGGAAATGATTTAGGAATGCAATTTTTTAGAAACGATTTCGGAAAGCAGGGAACGTGGGAGCAGGATGCAGAAAGAAAAGACCAGACAGCACCAGAGGGCTTGTGAGAGCGGAGGTGATGATGAGGCCGCGCTCCTGGCCTGCAGTGATGAGCCCTGCCTGATGAAAGAGGAGCCGAGAGAGCCCGTGGCAGAAGGCTCCCATTTTACCCGTAAATTGAGCTCTGTGGGATCAGACCCAGAAAAGGTAATGGAAATACATACCAGCCTCTTCCTATGTTAACTTGTACAATAGTTTTGCTTCCATAATTGTCAAGTTGCCTTTTTTAAAACTTAGGAAGGACATACAAGTATGGTCAAGGAATTAAAAGAAAATCAGTAAAAAATAAAGGAAATTTCACGTGCCAAGATAAATAGGTTGGTGTTTTTACCAGTATCTCAAACGCAAGTGTAAATATCTACTTCGTTCACCACAGATGGGCTCCATAGGGGCAGGTTTCTATACATTTAACCCCCCATTATAGAATGGCATAGATTAGGCACTCAAGAAACATGTATAGACTGATCAAACAAATTTCTCCACATTTGGTGCAAAGTCAGTAAAATATTTTGTTATGAAAATGAGGACAGAGATATTATTTTGTCTAAAATCCAGACTTAAAAATGTTACTGATTTTATGATGAATTCTACACAAAAATCTGTTTTATTCTCTTGCTTGACTGTCTTTAGTTCAGTTTCATCCAAAATGGGAAGAAATAAATGCCTATAGACATTTGGAATTGTGCTATTGGTTTACTTTTTATTTTCACTGATAAGCTACACTTCTCACATTCCATTTCTTTCCTAACATTTGTTTTTGTAGCCACGATGAGGAGCTTTTGTTCAGGGTCTGCCTTGCTCCTGCCTTTTCTGGCTCTTTATGAACTTGAGCCATAGGCGTTGCCGTGAGGCCGGGCGCCCCTAGTGGAGAAAGCTTTGCATCCTAGGTGTCGAAGGGCGTCTCCAGGCTGTTGGAACACGGCCTGGTCCAGATGCAGTGCTAAGGAAACGGTTTCACGTATATCCTTGTAGTTTCCACGTCTAGTGTTTTCTCCAGCTGTGGGCCTCTGAAAGTCCTGCTAAGTCTGTTAAAACGTTTTATAAAACTTAGGAGTTTGACCCTAAACACCTATCCTGTATTAAAAAAAAGTTGGTAGACATCAGCACCTTAAGATATGCTATTCATCATTTCAATCAAATCTGTCATAGGTATAAGTGACTTTTATTTGTTTCCGAAGTAATTGATTTAGGTGAAAGGTACCATTGCGTCTGAAAAACAGTAGTCACCCAGCACCCCTTCTGTCTCAAATGGCCTTAAAACTGGAGATCCTTTGTTCCACGTTTGAGTCATCAGTTACAATCAAAAGAAAGCACTGCCGTGGTCCCCTAGGAGATGCGAGTGTGCGTGGAGAGGTAGACACTCAGATGTGTGAAGTGTGGGTTGAAATCAGGAGAGAATGCTGGGCACGCGTGTGCGGTTTGTGGGTGAGCCAATCAGAAGGTGAGTGATAGGAACTGTTTAAGCCATTTGGCTATTTCTTAGTTCACTTATGTGCAAACCTTATGGAAGGAGGTAAGAAACAGTTGGGTATCAGTATCTGGTAAAGATATTTTTTAATATAATACAGTCATTTTACTTTGTGGTTAATTAATGAGGGAAATTCTTGCATTTTTCTTAGGCACTTTTGCATGAAATCACACAGAGTACTGAAGGTTAGAGCAAGATAAATTTCACAACGCTTTGCTCATTATCACAGTCATTATAAGGATATGAATGACAGGTGTAGGTTAAATAATTAATCCCACTCGACAGAAATAACCTGGAAAGGTTAGACAGCATTTTAAAATTCAAATTTTAAGGTGTATAGCCTAATGCATTACAGTGGTAGAAATCTTCAAAAATAAAGTTCTCATTAAAATCTATCACAAAGCTGTTTTAACATTTTATTTTAACACAGAACACATATGTGTCCATTTATTCACCAACTTTTGATGTAGTGACAAGTCTTTTTCTTTACAAATGAATATTCTATTGGAGTTTTGTGTTGTTTTTCTTGCAAACCATACTCATATTGCTTTGTTTATGCTTTGCACTGTGAAAGACATTTTTTAAAAGCTATATTGCTAATCTATCTGAGTTCTAGAACCTTCTAGTTTATTTATATCCCCTTCCTGACTATTCTGGTTCTCCCGACTACCCTTAATTTGACAAAAATTTCTTTGTGGGGAATTGCTTTCATTAAGTCTTTCAGAAAAAGAACCTAGTTTTCATGAAAATAATAACCCTCTTTTTGCAGTAGATTTGCCAGCATTCACAATATTAAATTAAATTATGTAATTATAATAAGTACAACTAACACAAACAGGATTAGGGACAAACCCAGTGGACTCTTAGCCACTTTACAGCATCCCCAACGGGAGCAGAAATGTAGGAACTTACTTCTGAACCATTTCTAAGTGTGTGATTCAATTAGATCTGCTTTTGAAAGAGATGATTGACTCTAGTCTTGACAGTGTATCTGGGTCAAATCACTGTTCCCAACCTCAGGTAGGATCAACGCAGGCTCAGTGTTTAATGAGTAGAGGAAGGAAAGAATAATAACAACTTGGATTATTGCTTTTCAGAAGTACACCTTGACTCCGGAAGAGCGAGTGCCAGGGTTAACGACAGAGGAGAATTTGTCAGGTTAATTTCAACGATAACGCCTCTCTGGGTTACCTCTGCTCCTAGTGTCATTATGCTGGGACCACAGGGTGCACAAAGACAGTATGCTGGGCTCTGTGGGCACAAGGATTAAATAACATGTTTGCCATTCAGCTGATACATAACCAAGACACTCACCGTGCCTGGGGTTGGAGAGCGTGAATAACCAAAAGAAAGCTTGAGGCAAGTCCACACTGCATAGCAGGATCCGTTGATTCGTGCAATGGCTACCAGCCGAGAGGGTTCAGGGCATGGTGGCCATCGATCAGAATGCTTTGCCCAGTCACTGGAGAGTGTTGGTGGGTCTGGCTGAGTCAGGCGTCCGTTCAGGTGGAAGTCACTTAAGAGAGCCCACCATCATTGTCCAGTGAGTAGCCTTTAGGCACTAAAAAGCCACAGAGAAACAAAACCACCAGTTCAAATACCTTGAAAGTTCCCTAGCAGAGGGGTGTTGAGGGTGCAATGACAGTGGGATTGTGTTCAGGGGCCGGCCAGGTAGGGAAAACCTGTGCTTTGGTGCCAGCTACCGTGGAAAACAGAAATGAGCTTTAAATTTATTCCATCGATGATACTGCCCCTGGTTGCATGACATAAAAAAATATATATATTTTAAATCAGAGTTTTGCTTGTTTCAGGAAGACCTCACCAAATGATTAGATAAATGAGGTTTTGCTTGAATTTATAAGGCAATGGGAATATCAGAAAGTTATTATTAGCAGATGGAACCACAACAGAAAATACTTGCTGTAAACCATCTTGAAATATTTTCCAAATGTATTCCCATCAAGAGTTTCACTAGCTTTCTTCCCTAGATTTTAGACGCCTGTCCCTGAGGGAGACAACACACACTCAGTTAAAATAGCCATCCCCAAGTTGCCTGTTAATAGAAACTTCTTTAAGGCACAGCCTTCATATGTAGGAATAAAGGAGCATTATGAGAATGTTGTAAGAAAACAAAAAATTATAAGAATTATAATATTGTAAAAATATTGTAAGAGAACAAAACAGCTTGCTTTTGCTTTTGAAAGCTGTCATCCTTTCCTGGCCACGGGAATCCAAGGGGATGTGAAGTTGGAGTAGTTTTTTGTTTGTTTGTTTTTGGTAAAGAACTTGTGTCTGAATTCCAGTTAGTGATCATAGCATACATTCACATACTCCTCTGTCCATGGAGGAAAATATAGTTCTATAGAATAACTTGATAATCCTTCTTTTGGTTGCTTTAAAATTACTTATAAAAAAAAGAAAAAAAAAAAAGAAAAACAATTTAGAGTAAATATTAAAAATAATTTTGCTGCTGAATACAACTGTGGAGTTAAAGCAGAGGAACAAAAAATGACATTAATTAGACCCAGGACACTTTAGAAAGTGTAGTCCCTAAATATGAATTTCTGAACAAATGGAAAATGATGAGAAAAACCATAGTACAAAGCATGTACTGTATTTGAAATAATTCCCTCAGGAAAATTCATATTCAAATTCTGGGAATTAGGATCTTATTTTTCTAAATGTGGAAGACTTAAATTCATTTATGCTCTAAATTTCTAATTAACCATAGATTATAGGAATGCAGAAATGGAAAGAGACATTTAAAAATCCTGAGATTTTAGTGCAAATTCTTGTTAATAGGATTTGAGTTCATGCCTAATTGCATTTATGATCAATGTTCAAGTAGAGTTTTTTTTTTTTTTAATGAAAATGTATGCCTAATTAAACTTTACATGTGTGAAAATACCAGAAATTTTAAACTTTGTCCTCATTCGTCTTTAAGGCAGCTTTTATCTGATCTAATTACAAATCAAATGTGTTATTTTGAAAGTTTAAAGATAAATGTGCTACGAAATTTATGTTGTTTTTATTCTTTCTTTCTTTTATGGCAGATTAAATACAAAGAAAAATTTGATAATGAAATGAAGGATAAGAAACATCATTACAATCCCCTTGAAAGTGTTTCTTTTAAGCAAAATAAGTTTGCCACAGAACTGGCGAGCAATGTAAGTGTCTCATGACTTGTAATTCATAAAAAATTATTTTTAATGTCTTTTGATTCTTGTCTCAGAATTGGCCATGTTGTAATTAAACAAAGTCATGTAATTTCCAAGCAATTTTAATTGAAAACACTGAAGCATATTTTCCTGAAGGTTTTTTTTTGAGAAAAATGTATTACTGTAATTTACTGTTAATGGTTACTAATTAGTTGATATATATGAATAGTATTGCTGATAAAACTATTATATCTGATCAAGAGTAGAACTAGATTACAGAGTTTTGCAGGAAAGTAGTGTGTAGTATCATAAATTAGTGATTATGACAATAGTTATTAATTCGTATAATAATACCCATGAAAGGAGGCTTATTGTGAAGTGCTACCTGGCACATGGTAGGTTTTATCATAAAAAAATTTTCAGAAATTGTACCTGTAATGGCTTACAATTTCTTTCTTGTCCATTATGTAAATTATGTGATACTTCTTCACAAGATTTGTTTTCATTTTATGTGTTTAAAAATAGTCAAGTTTTTATTTACAAGAAAAGATCTCTTAAAATTTTTATTAGAATTAGGCAGAGTATCAAAAGAAACATGGAAAAGCCCTGATCATTTTGCTGTAGTTGTGGGATGAATAGAGTACCTTTTCAAGTATGAAGATTAATTATGGTTGAACTGTTGCTTTGTTAGATTGTTTAAACCTTTTAACTTCTGTCATATCAGAGGGCTTATATCTTACTTTCATTAATATTCATAAGGTATTGTTATTTGTGTTCATTAACCAACTTTTGTTTGTCACCAGAAATTGAAATGGATGTTACTATCTTTTAGGACCACTAGGAATATTAGAATAATTTCTTTTCCTTTTACTTCTTTTTCTTTGTATGTGTGTATGTGTGTGTGTGGGGGTGGGGGTGGGGGGGGGCGGGAGTGTAAAAATGTAAAGCAAATAGAGTTGGAATATCCTTAAAGGAACCTAGAGCATAGTGCTGAAAATGCAGGGTTTAGAATCAGACTGCCCAAATTTGAACCCTGCTATCTCTCTTAATTTTATACCTCCATCTTTCTGAGCCTCAGTTTCCTCATCTGAGATACTTATAGTACCTACCTACTAGGATTGTTACCGAGATGAAATACTCAATACATATAAAGTGTTTAGAAAAGTGTTTGGCACAGAGTAAATGCTCAATACGTTTTCAATTTTTAATATTTTAATATTATGAGTATTGATACTGTTATATTTCCAAAGCAGTTGGTAAAAAGGTCTATATGGCAACAACATGAAAAATACCCAAAGCTCCCATATTGCCTCAAAGCATTATCAAAATACAGTAGAAATTTCTCTGTGTTTTGCAAGCAGAATTTTCCATTAAATGTACTTGATTCTACTTACATCACCCTTTTCAACTATGTAAACAAAGAAAAGAATAATCAAAATATTTTCAAGTCCCCAGAAATAACTTTAAAAAATGCATTCAGTAGTAAATGAGCACCATCTAGTGGCTACGTGCAAATTCGTCTGTCCGTCTACCACTATCTAGTACTTTCCGATGTGTTAAAACATGATAATGGCAATAATGCAAAGGATACTATTTTCTCCTCCTGGATAGTATTTTGTTCCATGTTATTTTCATAGGTGAAGTACAAGAAAGACATTCAAAACATGCATGAGCCAGTTTCAGATCTCCCAACCTTGTTTTTAGACCATGCTTTGAAAGTCAGCAAAATGCTCAGCGGAGTAAGTGGGTCGTTTGATGGCAGCTGTCCGTGTCCGGTGGCTTCCTCCAGCCGCCGTGCCTGCAGTGCTCTGGGGCGCACCTGCTTGCTTAGGCCTGGCCGGGCGCACCGCTCCCTGAAACTAACTCGTGGGAAAGCAGTCTGCTTGCTTCCGTCCTACCAAAGCTGTTGCTTTACGAGGGTGTTTTTTTTTTTTTTGCCAACTCTTCAACATCTTTTAAATGCAAACGTTCTTGTTGAATAACTACACTTCATAGTTCTTTCTGTCTTTCTTCCTTCCCTTTCTTCTTCTATATTCAGTTCAAGGCTTTAGGCTGGGGGAGGGGGGATGGGGAGGGCGGAATGTCCCGCCCGCGCCCCTATACAGCCTGTGAAATCAATACCAGCATCACACGCCTCACCAAATTAGCCTGACTACATGTAGCAGGCTAATTTTTAAGTTCATGGTTTTGTATGGCCCACAAATGATGTTAGAAATATCCAAATGGCCCTTGGCAGAGAGAAGCCCTCCCCCCCCCCCCCCCCGTGAGAAGATCATGCTCTGAGGTCATAGACCTTTGGTTTTATGCCAGAGCAGAGTGTCTGGTGTCCAGTCGGTCTCAGTAACATAAAAAATTGTCTTAGTCCAATTTGTATTTTCTCTGAAAAGAAATCCTAAAGGTGTTTACATCAACACTGGACTTTTAGTCTTGTGAAGTTTCCCATGTTTTCTTCAGGGCTATCAGGAGGGGAGGGCGGTCTCTCTACATCCTGATGAGTGTTTGGATACACTGCCAAGTGGGTCCTTCTATCGGGATTCATTTCCTGTGCGCTGTTTCAGAGACTTAGTGACGCCACCGATGCTCGCGGTGGATGATCTGGCTCCCCCAGGGCCTGCATTGCCTCCCTCTCAGATGCCCCATGGTGGGCTGGACGCTCATCTGGCCTCAGGTTATTTCCGTGCCTATTTTAATAATTACTCAAAATTATCCAAATTTACTGACAGACTGCTTTGGGCCAGGTACAGATTGGATGCAAAGTGTGTTGGGGCAAGAAATGGGGAAAAGTGAAGAGAATTGTCTTCAGGAGATATGTCCATAGTCATGGATTAAAAAATCCTGAACTCTGTGAAACTCTGGTTCCCCAAACTACTAAATAATGAGATGCAGCTTCAGTTCCGGTTAGAAACGGTCTATCCTTAGCTTTGATGAATGAAACCTGTGTTCATTATGTTGCGATCTTCCTTCCTCCACCACCACCGCTGTCACCCTTCTTACTGTGCTCTGTGCATGTAAGTGATTCATACTCGTAGAGATAATTAATGAATTAGTCTTGATCACTGGTCTTTGGAGGAAAAGCAACCCGTCATTCTGTCCAGTCTGTTGAGCAGAAAATGAAGGTTAGAGGGCTATTGCCCAGAATTAGACTCAGTCCCAGGACACTTAATTCATGCTGCCCTGCTGTTCCAGTGCTCACCCCTGCACCTCTGCACACCTCCCTCTGTTCCTAGCGTGTCCGTTTCAGTTTCAGGTTTTCCTCCATGGCTCACAGGTTCGCTTCCAAATCCAATGTCTCCTGTTCCCTGAGCTGCGTTGTTTACCTTTAGTCTGTCCAGATTTGGTCCTCGCCCTGGCATTTTGCCCTTGCCTCTTCCTCACCCACACTTGGGTTGGATTTACTTAGGACATGAGGATTTATGTGTAAATAAGCCAGTAAAAATACCGTGGTGATAAATTTAAAAATTTGTAACTAGAGGAATGCATGCCACTCATAGACATTTCTTTTCAAGAATATTGACCTTTATTGTATAATAATGGTGAAAATCATAGTTTAATATGAAATTGTTTTTATCATCTCTTCAACAGAGAAAAACCGACAAAGTCATATATTTATTTTATATACCATTATAAAGTTTAAATATTTGTTCAGGTGGTGCTTTTGCCTGGATTATAGACCTTTTGCCCCATAGTAGAATTGTGATTTAATGATAACTTCATGGGAGAGAGAGCTTAAGTCTCAAAAGTGCATTACTCTGAGGATCTATTTATTAAAGTTGTATGGCTCAAATTTATTGTACATTAGAATTGCCTGCTTTTAAATTTTAATGTAAAGGGAATTGGAATTTTGTAGATTTATAAAGGGAACTTAATTTTATTAAAAGATTAGACAAGAGAGTGCTTAATAAGAGGATAATCTGCCAGAGTTAGTTGTCAGTTTATTATAAATGGCTGTTTTTAAAGACCTCTAGACGTCTTTGGTATAAATCATATACACATAGTGTGTAGAATGAAATTAGTGCTTATGAGTTTGTGCAGCTATACTAATTAAATTTTTGAGGGAACAGTTCTCCCTGAAAAATAGAGTTCTAGTGGGTAGCTTTCAGTTTATAACTTTGCATAAATTAAAAATATATATTGTGTGTTGCTCTCTGTAACTACCACTAGGTGGCAACAAAGACTATAATATAAGGAACAGTAAGTATTAAAAGTTCTGCAGATCTTAATTCAAATAGGTTGGGTTTGCTTATTTTATTTTATTTTTTAAAATAGAAGTTTCTGAAATTCTTTGTAACTAAAATAGATCATTGTTTTTGGATAATATTTATTGACCTTTTCTCAGGATCTATTCATTATTCCAGACATAAGATTCTAGGCTTTTTAGTTCTCTATTTTAGCTCTTTTCAGTCAAGATGTATTATGTGAACATCGTCATGAGCTTCCTGGGGCCTTTTCTTCTTTACTTCATTCTAGTTAGAGTTTGGGGGGACATATGTCACTCTAATTGCCTGAATGTGCCTCTGGGGACCATTGATACGTCTCCGTGGAATAGCAGTTCTCATGTGCATCTCCTCCCTCTCGGCACTGGGGCTTCATCCTGTTTCACGCGCAGCTGTCTGGAGCATCTGCCGAGACCATGTCCGTTCCACTGCGGCAGATCCTTCCTGCCCCCTTGCACACGCTGCTCACCTCCCCCTCCACCCTACGAGAATGACCATCATCACCGAAATCCCCATTGCCTCATGCCCTGCGTCTCTGAGAATTACCATTCACTTCTAAAAGTTTTTCCCAAACATGGCAAAATAACTGTGTCCAATACCCACGTATAAAAATTATGAAGTAATTTTTGTCTTATCGGTGGCTATTTTAATAGAGACCTATAGTTGCCAAATTGGCATTCTTAACCATTCTGTATCTTCCAATTTCACTTTTTTGTCTGTGTGTCTAAATCGTCTTAATCCAATTTCTTTACCTTAAAAATTCATTCAAGCCCTGCTGGTGTGGCTCAATAGATTGTCAGTCCCTTGGACTAAGAGGTACCAGTTCTATTTCTGGTCAGGGCAGGAGCCTGGATTGCGGCTGGTCCCCAGTAGGGGGCGTGCAGGAGGCAGCTGATAGATGCATATCACATCAATGTTTCTATTTCTCTCTCCCTTCCTCTATCTCTAAAAAATCAATAAAAACAGATTTAAAAAAGAAAAAAGAAAAATTCAGTCGACTGTACCAGTTTCTCTCCCAGACACTTCCTAATCTCTCCTTTCAGGAAAATTAGATGAATCATTCCTCACTCTCTATGTTCCTTATGACCATCCATCTTCCTCATCTTCCTCGAGAAGCCCTTGTGTACAACATTTCTCTGTCTGCCTCCAACTTTCCTTTCCCCTGTTCTTTCTTCTAGATGCTCTCAAACACATACCTGTTCTAGAATAAGAGCAGGACAGATCACCTCCATTGTGCCCACCTTGCCCCTCCGCTCTGGTCCTGTGCCTGCTTTGGCGTTGCCACTGCCCAGCGTGGTGGCTGTGTTTTGCATCGTGTTTACAGCTAGCTGTCCTCTGCTTCTCTTGAGTGTTTCATATGCTGTTCACTTTGACCACCTACAGCTGGTCCGCGTGGCACTGTCGGTTTGGCTCACTGTTGGAAACCCACATGACCAGCCGACTGCAGGAGGGAACTTGCAGCTTGTGTGTTTCAGTTTGCGTTCCTAAGTATTAGTGGCTCTACTTTGGTTCTGAATTGATTTTCATGTTCTCTGTTTTAGCGAGAATATAGAAAACTTTTTGAAGAAAACAAAGGAATGTATCATTTTGATGCGGATGCTGCCGAACACCTGCACCACAAAGGCAACGCCACCCTCCAGAGTCAGGTACGCCCTCCCCGCAGCCTGGGCCTCCAGCCACTCACTGCGGCACCTCCACCGACAGCCTGAGGCCGCCGGAGGACAAGTGCACCGGAGACAGTGAAGGCTGCTTCCCCAAATCTCAAACACTGTTCCCTCAGCAGTTAACTGAGTTCGGGAAGCCTGAACCATGTTTCCATGTAAAGGCATTTTATAAGATAACAGTAACTTCGTACAATTTAAAACTTACAGTATATGAGTTAAATGATGATCAAATTTCATGACAATTTCAATTTTTTTTATCGTGTACTGATTTGTCATTTTGTGCTGCAAAATTAATTTTCCAGGCACAAAGTTTATTATCTTTTCTCAGTTCAGTGATAAGTGTTATGAAAATATCTTTCCAGTGTATTCTACTTGTTTTTTTCAATCATGAGATTCTATATACTCTGAAACAAATTAAAACAAATAATTTCATGCTGCGTACTTTGAAGTTGGTATCTATATATCTTTTTGTTCTTAGTTTCAATAGTTGCAAAATATGTCATTCTAACATCTATTAAATTAAAATTTGTATCACCCTTTTAAATGTATCCTGTGGAACATAAATTTGATAATGATTTGACACCCATCTTCATTATTTAAAAAATACACAAATTGGCTCTCCTTTAAGGTATGGAAATGGACATTTTTGTTTGTTTGTTTGTTTCTCTTTGCATTCTTATTTTCATTTCACTTGTCCCATAAAATTTTACCATAATGCAGTATGTTATTATACTTCAAACACTTTCATGGATCAGTCAGTCATACTTCTTTGAAACAAAATTATGCCTACAATAGGAATTTTAAAATCTGTTGTTTCCTGGTACCATCAAGTTTTAAGTATTAGAAAATTTCTTTTGGGTTTAAGTATCATTAAAATTATTACTATTTACAACTTAAATCATTTTATTAATTCTTAAACAAAGGAATGTAAATAAAAATACATTTCTGAGTGAAACGAATCATGATCAAAACTTTTCTGTGATTTTAATTTTGTAATTTGTATATTGTTAAAAAAGCCAACTACCCTGACAGCTTACATACATTATAGTTTTTATTATTAGTAGATGGAAAATATAGATTGGCTTATAAACTGAAATAAGATAAGGAGTGGTTGTAATTGAATTAAATAACACATTATTAAATGATGCATAGTGAAACTGAAAGAAATCACATAAAATCTCTGTCTATGGGAAAATTCAGCAATCCCAGAAAACACTGTCCTCCCTTTGACAGAAAGATAGAGACTCACAACTGTGTTTTCTTTTTTGTTCGTGCTTTACTGATAGACATCACAGCTATCACAGGGATCTCTCTCTCTCTCCGCCTCTTTCTTTCTATGTATGTGTATATAAATATATAACTCCATGTATATGGTATATATCTATATATGCCAGCAGTTTAAATACTTTATTCAAATCCTAGAATGACATTACTTAGTAGTTCTAAGTTACTTTTATTTCTTGAAAACTTTTATATATCTTACCTCTTTATTTTCTTTGTATGTCATTAACTACAGGGAACCAAGAGATCAACCTCAATGGCCAGAATAATGTGATTTTTAGAAACAGGATGATTCATTTCAGACATATTTATTTTACCTCGCTCTATTTGCATAAGGGCTTGTGAGCTTAATATGCTTTTTATACTTTTTTTTTTTCAATGAAGGTTAAATACAAAGAAGAATATGAGAAAAATAAGGGGAAATCGATGCTTGAATTTGTTGACACACCATCATATCAAGCTTCAAAGGAGGCTCAGAAGATGCAGAGTGAGGTGAGTCCTTTTGGTTTGTTATCAGCTGTTCAACACACAGTTGATGTTCTGAACCACAGGAAAGCAGTTCAGAATGTTTAGTGGGTCTAGAGGAGCCAGCGCAGGGAGACCCGGGGAATCTCAGTCCGGATCCAGGCACTTGTCGGAGTCACTGGGATCCTCTGGCCCTCGTTTTTCCCGGTTGGCAAATATGGGTATCAGGCCCGGTGAGCTGTTAACATCCCTCTCAGCATCACGTTCTGTGATTATAAAACTGGTACTTTCGAGTTGTATCCATCTAAAAACTGTGAAAAGAGTAGATTAAAGATGAATAGAAAGAGAAGAGCTGGATCCTTTATTTACCCTTTTCTTCCCCTATGACAATAAAACTAACATTCATTCAATACTTGTGCTAAACAATCTGCGCTAAGTAATATGCTAACTCCTTAAATGTATCAGCTCCTTTAATCCTCTTAATGTAATGATGCCAGGTAGACATTATCCCTAGATTGATAATGATTCCGCTGAAAGTAATTGTTTCATCTAAAATTACATATCCAGGAAATGCCGGTGTTTAGGCCTGTGTAGAGTTTTTGTGACTGTTTTTTGCCCTCCTACTCACTTCATTCTCCACTTAAGCGACATGGTCACAGCCATGTATTTCCCTACAGGTTTTGCTCTGTCCCAGGGAGATGTCTTCTGTTCCTGTCTTTCTTCTTAATTTGGTGGTGGGCAGGGAAAAGACTCCAGACACAGAGGTTTTGTCTGCAGCCAACATCCCAATTCTGTGGGTACAACCAGATTATTCCTTCAAAAGCTTAGAAATAATGGGCAGTGGTGTCAGCTGATGCCTCCCCCAGGCCCCCACTCCAGGAAGGCTCAGTGGACGAGACCTGTCCTATTCTCCAACAACAATAGGAAAACAAGGAGAAATAACTTCTGGACAATAAAACCCTCATAGGAATTTTATAAACATATACGTGCTGTTTGTTGAGATGTTATAATTATCTTCTCAGGGAAGGGTTACTCAGACATGACTCTGGCTTGTTGAAGAGTCTTAAGTTGTTCAAGACTTAGAAGAGAAGAGAAAATAATTACTTGTATTTTACATCCTCTTAAGCCAATTAAAACACCCCAAAACATAAAACCCCCTCAAAGAATCAATGGGTGAAGTAGACTAAATTGTCTTAATTTACATGAACTGTTAAGTTGATTTTTCCCCCCACTGGGGATGAACCCTCAAAAGAGAAAAGATTGCCCCAAGTTTAATTCTACTGTACAGAGGGCAAGGACGTCAAAGGGGTCCTCAGCACTGTACACTCAGCGCTGCAACTCCACACAGCCTGTTTCCTGGGGCAGCTCTTGAAGGCTGACAGACAGCGCTTGGCTTTTACCATTGCTGGGTCTCCACAGAACAAGAGGAAAATTGAACGTTGAGAACTGACCAAAAATAACAGTCAGTTGAACTAATTCATCGCTTTTGGTTGGCTGTTTTGGCATCAGGTGTATATCGGCTTCAGTGTTGAACTGTAGTTATGTATTTATTACATGCTCTGAAATTCCCTTACATTGGGGCCCGTGTGTGCTTTTACTAATATTGACTTTCAAATTTTGCTGTTCTGGTTTCTGATATTGTCACTGGGGAGGACTTTTTCTTTGCAGAAGCTGAGGCGTGTTTCCCTTCAGTTACCGCCACTGGCGGTTAGGTATTTAGGCTCAGCGTTGTGTTTCTACTCATCAGGACAAAGACATCTTCTGACAGAAAATATCTTTGGACCAAATTTACACTCTAAATATTTATAGTGTGTAATTTATTCTATGTAATTTAGCATGTAAATTTTATGCTGGAAAAAATAAAATCTAAACAGCTTAGACAAAGTTTGATATGAAATGTATTTAAATGCAGGAGCAGTGAAGTAGATACAGAGAGGTGATGTTTACTCCTAAGAGATGAACTTGACCATGAGCTTCCTGGGGAGTCTGCTATGAGTAACGCTAAGTGTTGATGATCTCAGGAAAAGCCACTCATGTTTTTGTTATAGCCTATAATATGCTTCGCTCACTTCCTTCTCATGCCAGATACAGGATGAATCAGTGTGTTTGCCAGAAGAAATGTCTAAATCTGGTTTTGAAAAGTTCTTTGTCTTCTGTTTCACAAATAGAGTTCTCCTAACAAAAAGCACACTAAAGTTTTTTTTCCCTCTCCTTAGTCATATATTGGCCAGTTCTAGTCATAGTCACCCTTTCTTAATAACTTACTTAAGTAACTTTATTTTCCCCCAGAGGAGAAAGACTTTTTAAAGTATCTGAAATAATATAAATTCAAACATTTATAGTTCACTTTTTTAAAAAGTCCCTCTGGGCCTTGGACCCAGTCCTATGGCACAGTTTTCCTCAACTGTTCTTGGGTGTGTCTGTGGTTCCTTTAACTCGGGGTGTGCTCAGTGCGATTCGTAGTTAGCTTGTTAGTTTAGGTATTTACTTTTTCTCTGGCTCTACCTACATTATTTGTTAAATATGTAACATAAATGTAGGTGAGGAGACAGCTCCTTTTTTTTTGCTTCCCTGTGTTATGGAGAATTTCTTTATATAATTACCCATCTCTGTAATAAGTACATAATGAACCTGGAAATAGCTTCATTTGGCATTAATAACAGTATCATGCAGAATTTATTCTTATCATCTTTGTGAAACAATTTGAATAAAATAGTTAGCTGGTAAATGTTGGCTCTTGTTTGGTAAATAGTTTACATGGATGGATATTTAGACTGTCTTTATAGTCATAAAACATAGGTTCTTATTGACTTGAAAATGTGTAGTTCAACTGGTAGAGTTTAGAGAGCCATAGCCGCCGAAGGGTGGCACACTGTGGGAAGGGCAGGTACGGGTTTGGATTGAGGATCTCCACAATCAGTGGGGTCTTTCATGTCTTTTTTAAAAATTTTTTGTCTTTATTGATTTTAGAGAGAGAGAAAGGGAGAAGGAGAGAGATAGAAACATCTATGAGAGAGAACATCAATTGGCCATCTCCTGCATGCCCCCTACTGGGGATCAGGCCCACAACCTGGGCATGCGCCCTGACCAGGAATCAAACTGGCGACCCCTTGGCGCATGGGTTGACGCTCAACCACTGAGCCACACCAGCCGGGCGATCTTTCATTTCTTATTATGAACGCTTACCTAAAAAATAATTTGTCAGGTTCAAGATAAGATGCTCCTACTCAGCGTAACTTGATTCGAATCAAACTCCATAGATAGTAGATAAATATTCTCAATGCCAAAATCGGTAAAGGAAAATCTTCCTCTCCACCTCCACTACATTTTGCAGAGGGTCTTTTCTAAATTCACAAAACACAAGACAGTAAGAAGGACGATGAGGATGGGAACATTCATGCTGTTTTGGCTGGAATGGGTTTCCGTGGGGCCAGATTTTTTCCTAGTTCACTCCCCTTTGAGTGAACGAGTCAGGTGATCCCATCCCATAGCCAACTTTACTGGTTCTCCTCCCCCAGTGGGCTGATGTCAAACAATAACAGATCATAAGGTGTTAGCCTCACTCACAGTGCTTTCCCAGAGGGAGCTGGTGTTTGAAGATTCGGCTGTGGTTTGCAGAATTCTAAATTTTATGATAAAGCCAGTGTTACTTTGCTGCTGCTAAGAAGACTCTGTGCTGGTAGAGTTATATAAGAAAAAAATATCAATTTTGTTCTGAGGGCTCTTGTTCTATTATTTTTCAACAGTCTAGTATTTTGTTAGTTTAACAATTATGTGGTCTTATTTAACAGAGAGTTTACAGAGAGGATTTTGAGAAAGAGATTAAAGGAAGGTCGTCACTGGATTTAGACAAGACTCCAGAATTTTTACATGTAAAATACATCACCAACCTTCTGAAGGAGGTATGATCCTGATATTTACCATTGAAGATTGCAAAAGAAACTAAAAACTAAAGAAATAACCCTGGAAGTACTTACTTAACAATTCTCTAACAATTCAATGAGTTTCAGATATTCGTCTGTTACTTTCCCCCTCGCTCTGACCCCTCTCACTTTGACCCCCTCCTCATTCTGAGCCCCCTCACTCTGACCCCTCTCACTTTGACCCCCTCCTCATTCTGAGCCCCCTCACTCTGACCCCTCTCACTTTGACCCCCTCCTCATTCTGAGCCCCCCTTACTCTGACACCCCTCGGTTTGAAGCCCTCACTCTGACCCCCCTTACTTTGACCCTTACTAAGAATTTTTTATTTTCATATTAGAGCCAGCTATTTCTTAAACGTACCTGCAGCATTCTCATGACATCTGATACTAGAAATAAGGTGTCCATGTGTGAAGGTCTGGATAAGTGGTCTATTATTTATAAGTGGCTTGTGTTCTAAGTAGGGGAAAACATAGTTAGCATAGAGAACACAGGAACTCATGTCCATCTTTAATTTTATTCTCAGCAGGATTGCTCCCAAATTTAGTGGTACCCTTGGCTCACAATTAGTGTATTAAATGTATTGAGCATGAAGGTCCTCAAATCTAATGAAAATACCATGCTCTCTGTCATCCCTTTCAAAGTTTTGTCTTTGTTGTTGTTTGTTTGTTTGTTTTAAGTGGCTACAAAATAACTTGCTCTGCCAACTCTCTGTTTAAAGAGATTCTCTTTACATTAAAGAAAAGCATTACAAAACTCCATTTCATCCTAAATTTTGAACTGAAGAAATTATTCCCGAAGGAAATGTCTTAAATCAATGAAATAAATATGTGTAATTACCTGTGTAGAAGAGCATCCTGTGAAAACTAAATGCCAGCTGGCCTTTACCACTTAACTGCATTTATACATTTAATGTGGTTCACTGCTGTGATCTGTGTTAGTCTGAAATTGGCATATAATTTATGGAAGAGGTCTTTTGACACCTTGTATTTTCTCCCTTTCGTTCCTATAAAGTAGTTGGAAATTGAAAGCTAATCAAATGGCAACTTTCTAGTATTATTGACCTCCATTTAAAAATTATTTGCTAATTATGTAGATTTTTGAAAGGGGTATCTTTTCATCATTTATGTACAAATGACAACATGAGATCTCTTTTGAGATCCACAAATGACTTAATGACTTTACTATAATACTTGTCTTTTTCTTTTATTCCTCTTTTTGAGTGATTTTTTTTTTTTTTTTTTTTAGATTTATTGATCAGGATAGAGAAAAGGCCCAGAAGTATATGATTAAAAATCTTTTAATTAAGTTACAGAGATGTCTAATTGTAAAAAGGTACTCTTAGTAACCTAATGAAATTGTAACTTCCTTTTCTAAATGTAAGCATTTAGCTTTAAATAATTTTGCATTCTTTTTACTTTATTATGGTTTTCACATTGATGTTGCCATTTAGAGTGTTCAATATATCATTTTGTTTTATTTCCTTTGATTCTCCCATTATCTTTTAACACTGGTAAATCAGTGTTTTTATTTTCACTTTGCCCATGTGGAAATCAAGGCTCCTTAACTTAAAGTCTCTTGAAGGTCACATGGCCAAATGGTAGAAACAACTCTGACTTTGCTCCAGGTCATTTGGCGCCAGAGTTCTTTCCAAAATTGCAGGCAGGTCATTACAGTGTCTCATAGGCTATTAGTTAAGCAGAGGACCAGCTAATTTAATTATACTGGACAAAGAGAAAAGTGACATGAAATGAACCCTAGAATTAACTGGAACATGGTTTCTTGTCATTAAGGGCAGTCTCATTTTTCATAAGTGCAACTTAGTCGAATTGGATTAAGATACTGTTTGCATAATGAGGTTAGTAAGAAAACAAGAAATTCATTCATACAAAAAACTCGTTATACATATGTTAGTAAAAACATTTAGGTCTACTTAAAATATAATATATTTTAATATATTATACTATACTATAATATAATAGAATCTCATCTATTTTAAGATGAGATTCAAACTATGTATTATCAATCTGTAGGAAATTAGTAGGTTTTATGAGTATGAATAAAATGGAAACTGATTTTAAAATTTTGGCTATACCAGTCCTTTTGATTTTGTAATTTCTATTCTTTTCAATTATGTTCTTTTGGTGATTCGTATTTTATAGACAGCTTTTGAAGAAATACTTCAAATAATGAATAAGATGCATGTATTCCTAAGATCTGCCTCATCATTTGAAGGGAAGACATCTTTTTGAAAATGTGGCATCAAGCCCTGGCCGGTTTGGCTCAGCGGTTGGAGCATTGGCCTGCGGACCAGAGAGTCCTGGGTTTGGTTCCAGCTAGGGGCATGTACCAAAAAAGAAAAGAAAAAGAAAAGAAAATGTGGCATCAATATGGTACCAAAATATATTGGAAGAAGGATGAGAGCAAAAAGACTGATAGCATAGGAAGCCACTCTAAACATGTTTAAAAGAAAACATTTCAGTAGGAAATAAAGCACAACTGTGCGGAGTCTGCTTCATTCTTTTCTAGAAAGAGTTTCTCCTTTCTGTGGCCTCTAGAAAATCAGGAAAACTGTGTACAGGTTAAAGAGCTTCCCAGCAGATTTCAAATTGTAGTATTTCTTGTCTCATAGAAGGAATATAGAAAAGATTTGGAAAATGAAATCAAAGGGAAAGGAATGGAGCTTAATTCAGAAGTTCTTGATATTCAAAGAGCAAAACGAGCGACTGAAATGGCTAGTGAGGTGAGTATATTTATTTAACAACTGGGAATGCAGGGGGTTTTAGCTGATTTTTTAATCTATAGTTCTTTCTCAAAGATTTTGTATCTTTTAGTAGATACAAATATAAATGTAATAGAGAATTTTATATATAAAATATATCTATTCTATATATCCCACACCTTTTATGTGTGAGATGATTATGAGTAGCTAGTAAGAAGCCTTTTTACCAATCAATGAATTAAAAAATGTGATACTCTTTTTATGTGGTATGAAAAAAATGACCATTTGCCCATTTTGGAGACAAATCTATATTATAAGCCAAAATAAGTTTATGAGATATAACTTGAGCTTTTAAGCAAGTAAAAGGCAGAAGATTAGGAAGCTGTGTTGTGATCTATCGATGAGTGTAGTTTAAATGTTAAATCTCTGTATAACATGAAAGTGGCCACTGCTCTCTGTACGTGAAATTTGCAAGAAGGAATGAAATGCCTCCAAAGTGCATTCAGCCCTTGAATTCTTGTATGTCATTACTTTGGTATCAAATAATGGCACTGTGCTTTGAGGAGGATCTGGCTGAATTTGGCAGTGAAAAAATGCAAAGCTTTATACCCATTTGTTAATAAACTGTGGCAATAATGATGATTATGACGACCCTATTAGTCAGGTTGCAAATGATAGAAACCCAACTCAAACTGGGTTAAACAATAAAGGAAATGTTTTGAGTTATTACTAGAAAAGTCCAAACATCAAGTTTCCTTTGGGTTGGAATTCAAAGGTTGTCTCTCTTCCTCATTTATTACTTCTGTTATCTTCTCTGTTGCTTCATTCTTGGGAGTCTGTCTCTAAGTGATGGCCCCTTTTAATGACAAGATAACTCATATCTGTGGCCAGTGATCCCAGTGGGAAGTGAGCATCTGTGTTCTTATAGTTATAACTTAAGCCCAAGGATTGAAACTCATCGAATCACCTTCTATCCTGTGCCCACACCTGACCCAATCATTACGTCTGGGATCAGGGGAGTGTAATGCACTGATGACCTAGATGGTTCTCCTGTCACCCATTTGTATAGTTAACTTCCTAGGTAGTTTAACAATGTTTTAAGTATAAAATATTCTAAGTTGTTATGTGTTTTTAGAATTTATGCACTCATCTTTGACCATATCCATGTTCTTTAAATAAATTGAAGGAACCATTAAAAGCATTCTAGTGGAATTACAAATGCATGTGGGGAGTAGGGAAGTCAACCCACCAAAGTGTATGGATTGAGAGGGGTTAGAGGTGATTCCTGACAAGAAAACTGTGGAACTCTGTGCCAGAAGAAGGAGGAATGGATGCTGGGCAGACAAAAACAGCAGATGTTCTCTATGATGTTTGGCTTACATTGTCATCACATTTTCCTACATTAATAATTTTCTACAAATTATTTTATTATGGTGACATATCCAGTACACATTCACAGGTAGATCTCATGATCACTTGTCAGCGATACTTGAAAAAATTGTCTTTAACTCTCAATGGCAGAGTCTAGGCAGATGCAGTTGAACGGCAGGTGGTGGCAGGAGCCGCTGTAAGGCAGTGTTCGGGTGTGGGAGCAGGAGGCCAGAGGAAGCTTGAATGAACACCCCTCATAGTGATCCTGCGCGAGGAATCATTATTCCCAGTTCGCATATCGGTAAACATTTCCAGCGTCACACTGCCGTCAAGGCCTCAAAGTCGGTCTCCTTTCTACACATCCACTCGCTTAAACCTGCCTCCCTGTCCTGCAGACCCCAAGACAATTGTCAGTGAAGAGTCTCACCTGGCAACTGCCTTCTTACAGTAAAAAATCTTCAGAGCTTTATTTACTTTCCTTCAGTGAGAATAGTGATTATAGTTCTAAGTAGTTCAGAGAATTTCGGCGATCATTCAGAGCACAAAGTAAGCTGTGTTGTTTTTTTCCTTATTCTTTTCTTTATACACATGTGTAGCCATTATTTTGGTATCACTGAATACAGCTACATGATTGTCTCCTGAGTGTCTGAATGTTGTGAAATGTTGCTGTTTTCCAGAAGGAATACAAGAAAGACCTGGAGTCAGAAATTAAAGGGAAAGGAATGCAAGTTGGCATTGACACCCTCGAGATACAACATGCCAGAAAGGCTTCTGAGATCGCTTCTGAGGTTAGTAGAGTAAGCGAAGCAGACCTTGAGACTCATGTTTTGGAGCTTAACAAATCATATTAGCAACTTGATTAGGACATTGGATTTTCCAAAACTTTCTGTGACTAGTTTAACAGTTTGGAATGGAAACCATTTCAAATTATCATGCTTATTTAAAAATTTACAGTTTCTGCTTCGCTCATTTCCTTGAAATATATCAAAGAAAACTCGAGGAAAGGCATTTTTATATAACCCACACATGTGCACACACACATATCTTACCTTATCCTATAATGCAACAAATTTCATGTTAATCTATGCTATGATAAATGTTTTCATACTACTTTTCTTTAAGGACAGATGATGTGCTACTTGATATTTCTGTGTGTCCAACTTTCTGAGCAGATCTTGAAAATCACATATGAAGACTAACATGATATTGATAGCCATTTCTGTGTGATTTGGTTGCATGTTCTCAATATTCTCTGTTGACCTCATCATCATGCCTGTAATTTCTATAGAGTCAGCATTTGGGTTTGAAGTATTATATATCCTCAATGACCGTGTTCTTTTGTCTAATACCATTTCCTCTTCAAGTAATACATGCAATGACAGGATGTTAATTTAGAAGTTCTGGCTTAGATGCTGTGATATGATAGATATCAGGTAACAAAGTTGTAGGAGTCAGACCACATGCGTATTTTCCAAAGGAAATACCCCAGAATTGATTCCATACCTCTTGAACTTCCCCCCAAACTTTCAAGAATATAAAAGGGTCAGTGGAGTGGAGAGTATTTGGGAAGAAATGCTTTTATTAGAAGTCTATGTAAAGAGAAATTTGGGGATACAAGTTAAGGGGTGCTGCTTATATCCAGGCTGATCGTGGGGATGCTTCAGTGGGGCTCCCCGGAGCTGTGATGTGACGTGTGCAGTTGGAAGAGCTAGCTCAGGACCGACTCCAACTCAGGACATCTGGAAGGCGGAGGGAGCTGACTAACTGCCAGCGAGTCACTGGTGTGTGGGATCTGCCTGCATCCCCGGGGCTTGGCACTTGCCAGGAGGGTGGGGTGGCCACAGTTGGTTTAGAGAAGGAAATAGGGGGTGGCATAGAATTCTTGATTTATAGGGGTCCCATTTAGAAATGGCAGAGGGGAAATACATGCCGAACACGTCTTAGAAACCTCCTTTCACGCTGACCGATTCTTTTCTCCTCTTGAGAAATAGCCTTTGTTACGAGTTTGTTGTAGAGCCGTCCAGATCTGTATTTATGTATATGTGTATAAGCGTACATTTGTCCACACACAGACTTACAAAACTTAAATATCATGGACTTTGTTCTGTGCTTGCTTTTCTCACTTAATAGTACAGACTCTTTTCCATGTCACTTCATATGGTTTTACCTCATTCTTATAAAAAAAATTTAAGTGTTCTATAACATAGATGTGAATACGTAACCATTTACCTCTTGATGTTTCATGGGTAGTTCCACATGTACATGGCATGTACAGTGTATTATAACAGGGACTCAACATTACATGCCCAAACCAGAACGCTTAATTTTTCTTCAGATCTGCTTCCGTTTTGTACCTCCTTCTTAGCAAGTGGCATCACTGAAACCCCAGAAGTCACTTTGATTCCACTTGTCAGCAGGTTTTATTGACTATACCCCCAAGATGTTTCCCTAAAGCCATCTCCTTCTCCTCACCTCTGCCACCTAAATTATTGCAATAGATTCCTCGTCAGAATTTTGTCCAAGCTACCACCTCTGTCACCTAAATTATTACAATAGATTCCTAATCAGAATTTTGCCCCCATACAATCTATTCTCTGCACAGCATCCAAAACAGAATTAAATTGTTACTCCCCCCACTTAAAACTTTCTAGTCATGTCCAGTGGAGACGTCATAACCTTTGCTTTGGCGTTCAAGTCCCCCCCCCCCCCCCGCCCATCCTCATACTGTACCTGCCTTCCCTTGTTCATCAGGCCCCAGCCACACAGGCTGCCAGTTTGTGCCTCCACAGGTTTTAGGGTCTTTGTACAGCTTTGTTGTCTTCCTGAAAGTCCTTGCCCTAGTCTTTGCCTGATTAGTTCTTTCTTGTACTTTTTCTCCTTAATCATTTAACAGTACTTTCTTTCAGTGACCTCCTTGGGCTTCTGAATAACTATCTGTCTTGTAACTATCAAATCACTTCTGATAATGCTCTGAAATTTTTGTTATTTTGAAGAGGGGGTGACACCCAGTGTTAGTTCAAGGTACTGAATTGGAGTATGGGGTGGGGGGAACTCAGGGCTGCAGAAGAGTTTTCAAAATCATCCTTACAGGACCGAGAGTTGAAGCCAAAAGAAAGCATCCTTTTACTGGAGGAAAGAAAGTGGAAAGAACAGAAATTTTGTTACCCAAAGAACAGGCTTCTACAACGAATTACTTTTATGAAAGGTTGGAATGTTATGTCTTTCCTTAGTAGGGAATAGATTAGTTTATTCAATGACATGCTGATTTAGATTTCTCTGGGTACCTTGGGATTGTATAATAAGAAAATGGTACAAATTTAGTTATTAAGAACCTAGGGGGAAAACCGGTCTAGAGGAGTCAGCTGTACTTTGGTTACATATGGCCCAAACCAATTTTGGTGATGTTGTTATATCTTTGTAATTCAAAGGTCTTATTTGCATATAATCATAGCCATGTCCCTTTCTTTAAAAAAATATTTTTCTTTATTGATTTTAGAGAGAGAGGAAGGGAGAAGGAGAGAGAGATATTAACATCAATGAGAGAGAACATTGATTGGCCGCCTCCTGCATGCCCCCCACTGGGGAGCGGGCCCACAACCTGGGCCTGTGCCCTGACTGGGAATCGAACCGGTGACCTCTTGGTACATGGGTTGATGCTTAACCACTGAGCCATGTCGGCTGGTCAGCCATGTACCATTTTGCCCAATTGGCAGGTTTTCAAATCCTTTTCAATGAGAGTTTGGGACATTGCCATAGTACAAATGTTAGTTTTTAAAGTAAAGTCAGTGTGGTATATTGTTACATGCATGATTGATCCCCAATAGCCAAACTTTCCAGTACCTAAGGGCTTGACCATGTGATCTTCTTTAGTCAATGTGACATTAGCAAAGATGCCTCAGGCAGAGGCTGGGAAAGGAAGAGTGCGTTGGGGCTTGCCCTCTTGAAATGTAAATTTCATCATGTTGTTCGAAGCTTTCTATTTTCGTATGCATCGATAAATAACTGGTGTAACTGGTGTCCTCTGTAGTCTATTTATGGGCTATAAAATGCTTTTAGATTTGAAGGTTCATGTCGGAAAATTAAATGACATACCTTCTACCACAGGGCCTTGGTGGCTGTCTGTGACAAGTGCCTAAGTTCCTACATACATTGTCCTTCAAATGAAGGGTTTTGTTTAGGGACCTTCAGAAACTTGCTGAAAACTTAGAGTTCTTTACAGAGACATAGTCATATTTCAATGTTATTCTTTTGAAAGGTAAACACGATTACTTGAACTTTTATTTTAAAAAAAGTGAAACAGACTCTAGGCAAGAAAAATAGGGAGATTTATGAGTAGAAGTTAGGGGAAATACAATATTTATCTGAGATTGAGATTTTTATTTATAACTTCTCTAAATTTAGAATATCACAAATAAGCAAGATAACATTTACTTTAAAACACAGAATATACAAATCTAGAATATGTCAACACAATGGGAAATAACTGTTTTGGAAGAAGTGTAATTAGATATTGTCAATAGGTTTTTTTTTTTTCCTTACTAAAATTTTTCATTGAAAAATAGCACGCATCCATGCCCTGGCCAGTTTGGCTCAGCAGTTAGAGCATTGGCTTGTGGTCCAGAGAGACCCGGGTTCGGTTCCCGCTAAGGGCACGTACCTCGGTTGCAGTTTGTCCCCGGTCCTGGTTGGGTCGTGCGGGTGGCAGCCACTTGATGTGTCCCTTTCACATTGATGTTTCTCTCTCTCTCTCTCTCTCTCTCTCTCTCTCTTTCTCCCACTCTATCTGAACAAAAAATGGAATAATATCCTCGGGTGAGGATTAAAAAAAAAAAAAATAGCACTCATCCAGAAAAGTGTTTAATCATACAGCTTGCTGAATTTTATAATTATTAGTTTTAATGTATGACAAGAGTTTCTTAAGACTTGTGTGTGTGTAATTTTTGTATTTTGTAAGTAACAGATAATCCAACTCCAGCTAGCTCAATATTTGTGTTTTTTATCCTCACCTGAGGACATTTTTGCATTCATCTTCAGATAGAGTGGGAGGGAGAGAGGGAGGAAGAGAGAGAGAAACATCGATGTGAGAACTGGTTACCACCCACACGACCCCAACCAGGGCTAAGGGACAAACTGCCACCAAGGTATGTGCTCTTAGGGGGAACTGAACCTGGGTCTCTCTGGTCCACAGGCCAGTGCTCTAACCACTGAGAAACCTGCCAGGGCACAAACAGCAGAGAAATTCTTGGGCAAAGTCTGATCTAGGACTCAGACAGTGTAATTTAGTCTCCATCTTTTGGTTCTTAGACAGGCTTTCTTCTTGTGTTTGCAAAGAGCCATCTAGCAGCTCCTGGGGCTACTTTTCTCACGTGCAGAAGGAAAGAGAATCTTTTGATAGCTTTTGAGGAAAAAGAACACACCCATCTCTGAGTCGATCATTAAGAGCCAGGGATGGGGTATAATGATGGATTTAAGTCCAGCAGGGCCCATGCATCTGGGCAGTCTTACCCAAGCTGAGTATCTTAGAATGGGGGAGCAGTGGTAAATCAGGGAGCTAAACAAGAGAAGAGAGGGGTCAGAGTTCAGGGAAACCAGCAGTTATTCATCACAGAGAGAAAAGCGACAGTTTTACCATCCCATTTCACTGATATTCATTAACTGAATGATATAGTAAGCTATAATTTATCAATTTTATCATATTGAAATATAAAATTTCCCCTGGACTAACTATGATTTCTTTCATAATTCAGGTGAGTAGAAAAAAGCCTCCGGATTACTTTTGAATAAATCATTCCAAGTCATGTATCCACCACATGGGAACTGTAGTTGTAGAGAAATAAAAGAAACAAAGGTCCAGCCTATCTCCAAAAGACATGATTCTGATGTTGAAATGACATCAAAATTTTCAAATTATTTGAGTCCTGACTGCATGTTTTATTTTCTACAGAAAGACTATAAAAAAGATCTGGAGACTGAAATTAAAGGGAAGGGCATGCAGGTGAGCGCAGTCACGCTCGACATCCAGAGGGCCAAGAAAGCTTCCGGAATGGCCAGCCAGGTGAGACCCAACAGCATGCGGAGTTTAAAACAAACTGTGTATAGAAGGTGTACACATGGTATCTCCACACGTGTGGCTTTGAGGTTCAAACACATAAATGTCTACATTGCTTTGGAAGGTTAAGCAAAGCTCTGAGGATTCTTTTCTTTTCAGATAGAATATAAGAAAGACTTGGAAAAGGAAATCAAAGGAAAAGGAATGCAAGTGAGCATGGACATTCCGGACATGATTCGAGCCAAGAGGGCGTCTGAAATCTACAGCCAGGTTGGTAGACAGAGAGGCTGCTCAGAACAGTGTGGTCTAATATCTAGTCACCATGTGTTTTATGCAATTCTGATTGGTACCTTTCCGAGGGCACGGAATTCAAAGTCAGTGCCCTGTCTTGTAAAGGAACCACTGGCCAGACTTAATTCACTTCCCTAATGAAAGGGACAACTGCTGCAGATTCAGTGCAACGGACATTGTGCACTGTCAGAGCTCCCTGCGGGGCCCCTGTTTTGTGTTCAAGGACATTTTGACCTTTTTTTTTAAAAAAAAAACACAACTCTGTTGCATACTTGGCTTTAATGTTCACTCTACAGAAACAAGATTACAAATGAGTTGTCTTTTACCCCTTTTATAATGAATAATATCGTTAAAATTATCAGCTCCAACTAAAACTAAAAGTGAGAAAAGTACACAAAGTGTGAGGTGAAGTGAATGTTAACAAAAATTAGGAACTAAGTTTTCTTGGTAAGATGTAATTTGCCAGATTTATCTTGATACAGGAGAAATAATGACCAGAAAAGAAAGTATTTAATGGAAGAATAATTAAAATCTGATTTGAGCAAAAATATTTATTAGTGAAATATTTCCTTGCTATAAAATTCACAAGGAAAAGAATGACTCCCAGTGGAAAATAATTAGTAAAGGGGAATGAGAAAAAAATGGTTATGGAAAACTGACCAAGGAACTAAATTTGGTTAATGGAGTTTATGCTTAAAATAAGTTTTAACCAAATTTGCTAAAATTCTGATTAAAATGTAAGCAAGGAGTCTAAACATCTGCTAAAAAAATGTATCAAGATGGCAGAGTCAATGTCAAAGGAGTTGTCTGCTTCTCAGTGTCCTCTGATGACTCAGCAGTTGGGATGGCCCTGATGTGCATCTGTCCTCAGTGTCTCATGATGGCATTTGAACTTGGAGAAGTTGACTCTAACCACCTCGGCGGAGCTAATATCCGAGATAATTACGTAAAACAGATAAGTGGCCATTTGAGTCAGTGGAGAGAAGTTGCTATCTCAAGAATACCAAGCTCATTCATTCATTCGGCAAATACTTCCTGAGCACCTGTTTACATGCAAAATTAGATACAGTTTTGCTCTTGGGGAGGTGCAGGCTAATCTAATAATCAAGTAAGCTTGCAAGGAGAGTATTATGAACCATGATACAGGCTACCAGAAGGTAGAGGGTTCAAGAGTAAAGGCTCTCCAGAGGAGATGATGCCTCAGCTGTCAGAATTTCTATTACCAGTGTTGATTGTTTTTTAGTGTGACCCAAGGATACATCTGATTTTAAGTAATATTGATTATTTTGGATACAATGGAATTCTAGAGGATGTAATGATGCTATAGTGCATTTCATCATGAACAATAGTTACCTTTCCTAACAAGCAGTAGTATACCATAATGGTTAACAGTACTGATTTTGGAGTTAGAGTGCCTGGTTTTAAATCCTAGTTCAGACACTTCTTAGTTAATGACTCAGTTTCCCCATCTGTAAGAAGGAATAATGATAGTATCTGTTTGTGGGTTAATTGAATGAGCTAATGTGTGTTCAATATTTAGAACAATACCTATTACACAGTAAGTATAAGGTAAATGCTGTTACTAGTAGAAGGTATTGCCCAGGTTGTAGAAGAACTCATAAGAGCATTTAGTAGGTAAAAAATGGAAACTTTTTATTTAATTTAATTTATATACATATTTAATTAAAAATGTTTTTATTGATATTTTTAGAGAGAGAGAGGAAGGGAGAGAGATGAAAACATTGTTCTGTTTGCCTCCTGCACACCCTCTACTGGGGATGGAGACTGCAACCCAGGCATGTGCCCTGACCGGGAATCAAACTGGGACCTCTCAGTCCATGGGACACTGCTCAATCCACTGCGCCACTCCAGTCAGGCCAAATTGATCTTTTTTTAAATCCTTACTTGAGGATATGTTTTTATTGACTTTTAGAGAGAAAGGAAAGAGAGAGAGAGACGGCGGCGGGGAGGGTGAGAGAGAGAGAGAGAGAGAGAGAGAGAAACATCAATGTAAGAGAAAAACATTGACTGGTTGCCTCCCGTACACACCCTGACTGGGGATAGAACCCACAACCTAGGTATGTGCCCTGACTTGGAATCGAATCCGCAGACTTTTGGTGCACAGGAAGACGCTCCAATAAACAGAGCCTCCCAGCTAGGGCTCAGATGTATCTTTATCTGAAGTAGGAACAGAGCATAAACCCAGAAGCATGACAACAAGTAGGTATAGAAAGCCAGGCTACTTGCAGGAACTATGGGGCAACTTTGAACAGAGATGGGACTGCTCACAAAAGAGTAGGTTTTACACATAAAGGGGCATAGAGGTCAAGCCCTCTTGGGGCGTGGGATGGGCTGGGTGGGAACCACTGCCTGAGCACAGGCTGTTTCCTGGACTGTTGGCCCACTCTGTGAGCATACTCCCTTTATTTTTGCTGTTGCATCAAAATCTGCCTTGAATCGTAAGATACAACTTACAGCCATGTGGTATAGTAGCATTGGAAGTAGTATTACTATCATTTTCTCTGTCTCTGTTTCTCTCATGTGTGCACATACACAAAGTTTCAGATTGATATTAACTGTTTATATTTCTAGAAAAAGTATAAAGATGAAGCAGAGAAGATGCTTTGTAACTATTCTACTGTGGCAGATACTCCTGAAATTCAGAGAATTAAGACAACTCAACAAAACATTAGTGCAGTGAGTAGCTGCTATTTCTTTTCAGATGCCTCCTTGAAATTTCATTTTGTAAGAAAGGCCTTTCCCCTCACTATCTGATATTTTGCTGTATTGCTTGAATTTTCTATCAAATGTATTAGCTTTATTTCTTTATTATGATTGTTCTAGAATGACAAATTAAAATTTTCTTCTTTGGTACAAGTTACAATTATTTTTAACTGGATTTTAAAATGCCACTCAGGAAAGAGGTTTTAATCTTCTACACAGATTTTACCTTGAAGATGAAAATAGTCATATGAAGTGATTTTCTTTCCCGTCATTGATTATATGCACTGATAATATATTTAGGAATTTACTAGTTTGTAACCAATTCTTAAACTTTCATATTTTTATTTTGAGCAATAGGAATTGTATCAGCACCATTTATTAAGAGATTGAGTCTATGTGTAATGGATATATAAACTTGAATTCTAAAATGCTAAAAACTGACCACACAGCTAGTATTTTAATGTGGAATTAGCTCATTTAGTGGTTAAGCAAATGTCTCATCAAAATATAAATTCTATGAAGTCTGATTACTTCCAGAATATTTTCTATTTTCTAATAAGTTGTTAAGTACTAATGCTGGACAAGTACCTCTAGGTCTTCATAGTCAGGCTGAGCTAAGCATTGGAGCCTGTTGGAAGGCAGAGTCTGAGAAAGGCTGTTTTGGCCCTTATTTCCCATGATTTCACTGTATTCTAGATTTCTCGCTTGGGGAAGAGAACATCTCTTCTGTCGCACTCTCCCAACCCTGACTAGGGCCTGCTGGGTTACCACAGGTCAAGGGAGGGACTCGTTCTGTCCTCATGGCTTTCTTGTAATTCTATTTTTCTTCCAGTTTTTTTGGTACAGCACTTTTGTTTTGGGTTTTGCTATGTCTTGGGAAGGGGTAGATGTTGGTAGAGGTGGAGAGACATGGGAAGGTTAATGAATAAGTGGAAGGAAAATACTGAGTTATGTTGATGATGATAAAGCTAATATTTTCACTGAAGAGGAGGAGGGCAGCTTTGTGTTTGGAGATTAACACTTGCTTAAAATTTCATGTTGTTTTTTAATTAAATGATAACTGCTTAGTGAGCTTTTATAATATGCACTTTGATTTTTCTCAAATACCCATGTAGCATTTATATTTGAAGAAGGAAACTCTAGTTCTCTCATTTATATTCTTAGAGGAAATAATCTGTAGCCATATAAGACACCAAGCATGCCTTAGGACATGTATCAGAGGGTTACTTGTAAGATTATGGCATTTGAAACCAAAGTTGGACATTTATTCTTATAATGGATTATTTAATTGATTAATGTATCAATGGTACTCATAAATACAAGCTGTATTCCCATTACTCTAAGAACTGAAAAATTGTCATTCTTTAATAAGAATTGAGTCTAGGGCTTAAATGCTAATAAGCATATAGTTATTCTTTTCCTTCTCTTATAACAAAGGTACTTTATAAGAAAGAAGTAGGAGCTGGCACAGCAGTTAAAGATACTCCGGAGATTGAACGAGTGAAGAAAAATCAGCAGAATATTAGTTCAGTAAGTTCTCGATGGCATTAATTATTCTTTCCAAGAGCAAATGTGAGTTAGATAAATGCTTTTCATTCTCTACTAAACTGGTTGCCTTTTTCTGTTATCCTTACTTTGTTGACTGCTAGTTCATCAAATGTCAAAGGCTTGCTCCCTTGAACCTGAAGCAGTGTTCCATCTTGCTTATCATAGGGATCGGTCCCTTTAATCGTATAGTCGTGGAATCTAGGATTAGATTGTATCCTTTAAAACAGAATTTTCACTGTATTAAAATTTTCAGAGAAAGGATACATTTTAGTACTTGGAAGAAAGGAATTTTACCCTGGAGAATGATTAAAGGCTTTCGAGTATTTATTTGATGTCTTAAGAGAAAGTTTCAAAGGCCTCATTTGCCTCCACTTCTTCCAGCTTCCAGCAAAGGGCAACATACACCTTAACTACGATTTGTAAGTGACCTCACCTTCCGATTCCTTTTGAGCCAGGGGGAAGGGCAGGGAGGTGCTTAATACTGCGGGTACAATGACAGAATTGCTTGACCTTGACGATGGATAATTGCTATTCTTCCACGTATGTTTATTTTTTGTTGAGGAAGTCAAAAGGGTTCTTTTTTCAAATCCCTTTTCTGACCTTCTCTTCACCTTCACCCTTGGCAGCAGAGCCTTTCTTTAAGTAATCCGAGGGAAAATTCCTTGATTCGACTCATCTGTCGGGAACTCTAATGGTCAGGTGGCGTTCATTTCAGAATATGAGCGTGCGCTGGCATTTGGGCAGAAGGGGCAGGAGAGGCAAGTACTACTGTGGTAAAACATGTTTCAAAATGAATTTATAAAAAGTCTACAGAATGCTGGTGCAATAAAACCTGCGTAGCATGAATGAACTCTCTCCTGCAGAAGGTGTTCGGGGGAGGGTCTGATGGTGAGGGAGCATCAGCGTGGTGCGCTCGCCATGGAGACAGCCTGTCTCGGGTCCGGTCGAGAAATTAGTTTGGCATAGAAGTGTACAATGTTTGTTTCCTTCACTTTCGAATGATAATATTTGAAATGTAGCCATCAGCGTACCGGAATCTAATGTTATAAATGTTCTGTAGCATGCAGTTCTATTGCCTACAGTGAAATGACTGTGGCATTTTGATTAGTTTAGAGTCCTGTGGAAAACACAAATGTTCATCTTTAATCATGTTTAACTTCTCACCCGAGGAAAAGCACGCGAAGTAGTGCAGTATATCATTCCTTCTGCCAGCGTCCGCTGCCTCTTCCAGCACACAATAAACGCACCGTTCTGTATCTCTGCGAGGTTGGGCCATAAACTCCTGCTTAGTATTCAAATGGAAAGTTGCCCTTTCAAGATTAGCTAGATCTGTCAAACCAAGATATGATTCTCTAACATTTAAAGATCTCAACATTTTCCACCTCCAGAGTACAAGCCTTTTAGCTATTAGTTTTCCCTAAGAACAATTTTTGAATCCTATTTAGAGGTAGCCTGTTTCAGTGTACCCTCACTTTAACTCTTTTGGATCCGGACTAAACTGGCATTACCACTCGCGTTAACTGCACAGATACTATGACATAGATGACGTCTTGTCTGAGATATTCAGGTACCGCTTGTTTTGACTCTCAGCATAGATTTCAGCCTTCATCACCTTAAACTTTACCAAGTGATTTCTAAAATATGTTTTTCATAGATTTAAGTCTTTGCTAAATTTTACTGCGTGCTTAAGTCTAGCCTATGTTTTCACACGTAAATATATATTGGTGTCTTTTTTTCTTGAATATAATCTCCCATGCATTTTAGACATATTAAAATAACACCTGATATGATAGTATCACTGATCATTTATAAGTTAAAGAGCTGTTTCCTATCCCATGAGTAAATGTGTTCTGATACTAGCTTTGTTGGGTTAGTGTTCCTCTAAGCAGATTTGAAAGAGGAGCTTCTCCATGACTTGTGTACAGGATATTGGCTGCCTTTCCCTAGTGTGATCATGTGGGCAGAAGACACTTGCTGACTTTCTGCCACTGGTTTTTCTATAGTGATCTGGACACAGTGGCTTCTGCTTTTAGAATAGGTACCTCCCCTCTCCTTTTCTCTTATCATGGCCACATAGATTTTTTTCTTATTCTGGATTATTTGAATGCTCTCAGTCGATTAAGCAGCATCCCCAAGACTCTGTAACTAACTCAACTTGACTTTTACCTTTAAATATATGGTAAATTTACATGAATGTACGAATAAATAGAAACTGCCTTTTGTATAGGAAGCAATAAATTATTATATTATTTAAGATAATTTCCAAGGTTTTATATACGTCAGCCTAATTATAAAACATTATCATAAGCAACATTTGCTTGCTTGCTTTATTTATTTATTTATTTATTTATTTATTCATTTATTTTTTGTGGTACGTGCCCCTAGCAGGAACCGAACCTGGGACTCTCTGGTCCACAGGCCAACGCTCAACTGCTGAGCCAAACTGGCCAGGGCAACATTTGCTTACTTTAATTAGAAAAACTCCTACAATGATGGCTAGGTGAATAGATATGGACTTATTTGCACTGATAAAGGAATCCTGAAAGTAGCAGATCAAATAAAAATTTGTGTTCCTGTTGAAGGAAAAATCTTGGTATTATAAAATTTCAATTATGCAATAGTTACAAATGAAGAATTCTTAACTTTTTTTTACGTTTATCTTTATTGTTGAAAGTATTACATATATATATTCCCTTTCCCCGCTACTGACACCCCACCCACCTCTCACACTATTGTCTGTGTGCACTGGTTATACATACATGCATATCAGTTATTTGGTTTATCGCTTCTTCCTCCCCTCCCCTCTGAGGCTTGACAGTCTGTTAAAGACTTGTGTTGGCCCTGGCCAGTTTGGCTCAGCAGTTGAGCGTTGACCTGAGGACCAGAGAGTCCTGGGTTCGGTTCCCACTAGGGGCATGTACCACAAAAAAAAAAAAAAAAAAAGACTTGTGTTGAATAATACTCACATTTAAAAAGATAAATTATACAGGTGAAATACAAAGAAGAGATAAAACATGCAATAGCCATTTCTGATCCTCCAGAGCTCAAAGAGAGTTAAAGGAAACCAGAAGAACATTCGCAATGTGCGATCAGATTTCTCTAAGTATTGTTTTCTATTTTACTGGCTAGTACCATACACGGCCCTTGTAATGAAGTCCCATTCCAATGAAGACCTTTCAGGAGGGCCACTTCCTGAAAGGTGGAGATAAGATTTCACACCGTCATGTCCTCCATCACACCTAGCCCAGGCTTCATGTGCATTTACTTATTAAAAACAAAATAACATGTTATCAAATTCCTCTTGTTCTTGGAGGAATTCAAAGATGAGTGGGGTACACCCTCAGGTTAGGAACTGTGAATATTCTCAAGGTCTCTAGGAGAAACAAGCATAAAAATAAGTAACAATTATGCATTAAGTGTTATAAAAATAAACAATATTTATTGGCTGTTTACTCTGCTTTTTGAGTATTTTACATGCACGATCTTATTTACTAATAAGTAATAGTTTCTCTTTCAATATGACGTGAAAAGGCAGAGAAGGAAGGCTGTGTTAGTGAGAGAGTAAAAGTCTTGGAGAAGGAGTGACATTTGAGTTCGATCTTGAAGAATTAATAAAGGTTTGGTGGGGAAGGGTCTTGATGGCAGAGCAAACTGAATATGTTCAGAACATAAGGCTTATTCAAGGAGGGGAAGGTTCAGTGTGATGGGTACTTGGGATGAGGGATGGTAGGAGATGACAGTGGAGAGAGAGGTGGTCCAGATCACAAGGGGGCGGTTGGGAGTCCCACAGTGTCCCTTAAACGTGGTTCATAGATAGATGCAGTTAAGTGACCTGACAATTATGAGGCCTTGACTTAGTGATTAATTTGTCTTAATGTGTCCCCAGTTCATCACAGAGATATAACATTCCCTTAAAAATAACTTGATTTGAAAATAATAACTAGTTCATTAAGTGAAAAAAAAATAATGTAAATCAGAGTACAAGGGTTATCTGGCATGGGATCTAGGTCAGTGGTGTGCAAATGGCGGACATTTAGATAATACTGACGAAGCGGGGAAGAATGTGGACCCTGGACTGTCTGTTCCGCCCCAGCTCCAGACCTTATTTGTTCTATAACCTTCATAAGCCACCAATCACTCCAAGCCTCCATGTCCTCATCCATAGCGCAGGGACTAAAGCAGTAAGTGAGATATTACCTGTAAAACACTTAGCGTGTTTGCCAATGGATGAATGCAAGATGTGAACAGTTTCCACATCAAACTTATGTCCCCAAACCTACACCCAACTATAAATCAGCTAGAATAGTCTCTGCATCAGTAACACTGTTCTATAGATTTCCTCCCTCTGAGCTCGACCCAGTGTAATCTCCTTGCATCTTGCCATCAACAGAGATTCTACTGGGCCTTTCCTCACTTGACTCAGACGGTTCTCCCAGACACAGCATCTGCTGAAACGCTCAAGCTACGTGCCAGGATGCTGAGAAAGTCGCACACTGCAGAAGGGCCCTCTCCCTTTGTCACTTATTTTCCCAGCTTATCAAACTTCTCTTCACTTGCACATTCACTACTGAGGGTGGAATCTCAAGTCCACTTTATCTGCAGGCCCTGTAGGCCTGGTGATTTCTTGGGGGGATAAATTCCCTAATGCTAAATTTAAACTCTAAAAAATTGCTTCAGCTGTCCCTGTGGAGTTCCTTATAATGGGGTTTTAACCTCTAGTTTTACTTGGGCCTGTCAAAAATTCAGTTGACAGGCATACCATTTTTTTTCTCTGTGTTGGATGCTCATTTATTTCCTAGGATGATGTGGAAAAGCTGAACACAAATGATGGGGCTGAGGCCCTGGCTGGAAAAGGCACCTCTGTGCAGCTGGCCTGGAAATCGCTCATGCTGCCGGATCAGGGGGCAGGCCTTCCGATGTCAGATCTTTGCAGACAAGAACATTTTGAGTTTCGTGGTTCTTTTATATAGTGGCCATGTGTCACGAAGGTACAAACCTAGGATTAGTACAACCCTCCTTTCTAGTGCTAAGAGTGCAGAATTATTCTTTTGAAATATAAGAAGGTAATTTGATAAATGTGTTGCTTTACTAAGAAGAAATGAGTTCACAGAAAGGATCGTTGTTACTGATCAGATCAAATACATGATGCAGTTGGAAGAATAACAACCAGAGGTGGAATTCAAAACATTTAGACCAGAAAAAGCATAGTCGGGGATCAATATGGTGAAGTCTCTTTAATACATATGCCACTGACCATCCCAGTGAAGTTTCTAACTAATGAAAGCTCTGTAGCATGTCCATCTCCAGCCTGTTCTAGTGGCTGGGGACCATTTCCTTCCTGCAGCCTCACACTGCCCGTGCCTTGCTCCCCAGCTCCAGAACAGAGCAGTGCCGCAGGGCAACCCCGGTAGGCATGACACCGGAGATAGAGAGAGTGAGGCGGAACCAGGAGCAGCTGAGCGCGGCAAGTTGTCTCTGTTTTCTGCTATTGACTCAAACGTTACCAGATTGATTCTTCACAACGCTCTCTAACCCTCTGAACCCTCTGCGTCGTGGATGGGCCTTTTCAGTTACATACGGAAGGGCAGGCACTGTGGCTCCCATGTGAGGAAATGTGGGACCATCTTGCTATAATTTAGGCATGTTTGTTTCTTTAAAATGTCTTCACTAAGCCCACCGATGTGCCAGACATGATGCTGGTCACTGGTGCATAAAGATGGATAGTCCCCAGTTCCTGTCCTCATGGACCTAGTAATTCAGTTGGTAGATCTGTAAAACGACATCCGGGCAAGGATCTGGAGAGTCATGGGTGTGTTGTTAACAGAGAAAAAAAAAATGATCCATTTGAATAGGTCGAAAGAAGACATGGCTTGATTGGGGTTCTAAGACAATGTCAGGGCAGGGAACCTTATAAATAAAATGGGAAATATCATTTGATCTTTCAGGAATCTATCGCGAATAAAGCACTGATAATGAATAATCGTGAGGTCCCTCTAGTATGGATCCCGTGCTACATGCCTTGAGCAAACCCACGCGGTTGGTCTAGTTCACCGCTCTGGTTTGCAGTGGGGAACTGGGTTTGGGGGAGGTCAGAGCCAGGGACCCACACTTTTTAACCACAGAGCGGAGATTTGAACACAAGCTTCTTGGAATTTAGAAATCTTTTCAAAGGTGCTACCCTCAATAGTTATTTTTTCTGTTTTTTGACCCTCTTAATGGAACTTTTACCGATATAAACAATAGCCTTCTTCTTCCAAATAGGAAATTTTGAGAGACTTTAAAATTTGAGAGCCTTCTCCCAGGTAGAGGAGAAAATCAGGGTGAACACCGCTTTGTCTCTGTAATGCCCTTGGGGGATGGTGGGAGTGAGGGATCTTTAGCTTCTGTTTTAATCTTTTTGCTTCTTTGTCCTAATTTATTTATTTATTCAGTAGATATTTATTAAACCCCTGAAACATGCTAAGTATTCTGTAAGCCATTAACTGTAAGAAAACTAAACCATCTTGGCTTCAAACTCAGAGATTCCAGAACAATAAAAATATAGGAAGAGGAGCGAGGAGGAGAAAGGGGGGATGAGGGGGGAGGGGGAGGAAAGTCTCCTGGGCTGCACTCCTGCTCCCCCAGGCACTGCCCAGCCTCCTGTGAGCCGGGGCTGAACCCCGCAGGATGAGGAGACCTGTGCGGGTTCCAGCACTCAGAGCTGCGCCTGCGTCAGAGCACTGCCGTGGACAGTCTCGGCGCTGCAGCCGCTGCTGTGAACTCGGGGTTTGGGCTGGTGTGACCTGCATTACCATCCTGAGCTGCTGCTCACCCAAGCACCACCTTCAGGCCCAGCAGTGGGAACGTGAAATCAACCTGGTCGCCTACTGGGAAGCTCACACAATTACTCAACGCTGTGTTCCATGCCTTCCAGCTATAGCAGCAGCTGCTGCCTGTATGGTGTGGCTCTGTAGGCAGGGGTCCCCCAGGCGCCATCCCCCCTTTGGGGTCTGCCAGGGGGCACAGAGCACCACGGGACCCTGAGCGTCCTCACTGACCTGAGCCCTCCAACACAGACTTGCCAGCCAACCCAGCAGCCGCCACAGCCCCTGCGGTGGAGCTCAGCAGTTCTGTGGGGCCTGGGAGCTGGCCCCGGGCCCTCCTGGTCAAGGGTTTCTAACGTAAGGAGGAGCTGCTGAAAGATTACGGCCCTGAGCAGGGCAGCACCCCTTCCAGCAGCAAGGACAGAGGCCTGGCACACGCAGCTTCATGGGCGACTCGGGCAGTGAAGTGTGTGTGTGTGCAACAGGGACAACCACGGTGACAACCTCCAAGAGGAACACTCATGGGTGAGGCCCTGGACCGACCTGGACTTCCACAGGAGCTGCCCTGGCAGACGAGGAGGGAGGGCTCTGTCAGCCCTCCAAGGAGCAGGCCTGAGACCTGGGCAGCCCACCTGCCTGGCCACGTGCGTGCCTCTGCTGAGCACCATCCCTGAGCAGGACTCCCCAAGCTCCCAGAGCAGCAGCTGCCCCAGCTGGAGCAGGCCCTGCGGCACTGGAGAACTCGCCAAAGCAGCCAGGGCAGGAAAGTGCAGGAGAAGCATTAAGTAACCTGCAGAGAAAGTGGTACAGCTACTTGGTTCTTTTTTTTCTCCCATTTTTTTTTTTTTTGCCTTTTTACTCCTGCATTTTCCTACATCTCCAGGTACACTGGGGTATGGATGCCTCTTCCCCCACAGAAGCACAGTGTTGTGGGGGCTGAGAAGTTGGTTCTGTGATTCATTCCTCATATCCCGTCACCATCCCCCTTTTCCCCTTTCCAAGTCATCCCTCACTACCTGCTTGGGTCCGAGAGATGTGTGTTTTAGAAGCTTCCCAGAAAGCGGGTTGAAACTGCGCGCTAAGGTGATGCTGTTGGAGTGGATGTTTGCTCTGGTGTTCGTGTGAGAGAACCTTGCTGTGTCAGCCCAGGACAGGTGGCAGGTCTCAGCCCTGGATGAACAAGGAAGTCTGCAGAGACCTGGGGTTGTCACCCCTCACTGCCAGTGTCTGCAGAGCCAGACTCGGGCGAATTCTGTAGGAGGGTGAGGGCTGACGGGCAGTAATGTGGTAGATGGGTAGGGGTTGTTGCATTTCCAAATTCCAGATGACAAGCTTGGTGCATCACTGTGCGTTCTTGAGGGGCCCTGCCCAGCCGGTTCTGGCTGGCCACAGACTAGTTCAAGTGTGTAAGATTATATTGCCTTCTCTCTGGTTTTCCTGTAAAAAAAAGGAAAGAAATGGCCTGGCTGGTGTGGCTCAGTGGTTGAGTGTCTACCCACGCACCCAAAGATCACTGGTTTGATTCCGGGTCAGGGCACATGCCCAGGTTGTGGGCCTGATCCCCAGTGGGGGGCATGCAGGAGGCAGCCAGTCAATGTTCTCTCTCATCGATGTTTCTATCTCTCTCTCCTCTCCCTTCCTTTCTATCTAAAATTAATAAAGAAAAAATAATGATAAAAAAAAAAAAGTGAACTGAAAACCAGAACTTTACCAGTGGGCAGGCGAGAATTCTGTCCTGGAAAGGGAAGCCTGTGGCTGTTGCCCAGGTTGGCCTGCACAGAGCCTGGCTGAGGTGGCCAGGAGGATGCATCTGCGCGGCTGTGGCGCTGTCTGTGCGGCCTCTGTGGCTGCCCGGGGGGCCTGAGCCCGGCTGCGGCAGAGCGCGCTTTTCTGCGTCTGCCCTTCGGTCTGTACCTGCAGGTGACTAGGGCTCTCCTGCACCCCGCACACAGTCTGCGGGTCCTCACATCTCCCTATTCGGGGTGAACTGGTGAGGCTGTGGGTCCTGAGGAAGGGCAGTGCATAGTCCGGCTCACACACATTGGGTTTTGTTCTTGATTCTGAATAAGTGTTTTTTTTTGTAGCTGACCACGTGGAAAAAAATACCCTGGTTGTGTGTGGTTTTCATGCCCTCCCCCAGCCCTTGTGAGTGGGGAACGAACGGTGACCTATGTGAAGAGTCTGAGTGGCCCAGGGAGGGTGAGGGCAGCCATCAGCAGGGCCACAGGGTTCTCACTGTTGTAGTTTGGCTTCAGATAACCAGTGGGACTTTGATAGGCATGATCTGAATGGGGAAAGCAAACACCAAAACTAACATTCCCTGCCCAGCCCTGTTCAGATGAAGAGTTTGGTCCGTCCCCCCCTCTGGAACGATGATACTCAGACTAGGCACTGCCGTTATGTTAGAAAGGAAAACATGTATATGTACACAAAACTAGACACGTCCAAGGCTGTGAGGGGAATGGGTGTCTGCTCCGGAGTCCACAAAACCCAAATCCATATTGAGCAACGTGAAGTCGCAGGCAGTGACTTTGTGGATAGTCCATGTGTGTGTGTCTGTCGTGTGAGGGCCCCGGCCCTGTCTTCCCATCACTGTGCTTGGATGGCAGCCATTCTGCTCACATTAACCACACGTTGGGAGCAAATGTGGCCCTCTCCATGCCATTTATTTTATGCATTTAGTGTCTGCTGAACAAACGTCGGACTGCGTACTCAGGTGTGTTCTGCAGCTTTGGCGACAGCAGTCCCCGTGTTGGTCAGGGACACTGCCCTCCAAGCAGAGGTTTTCCTCGACCGTCTCTGCCGCCTGCCTGCTGCTCCGCGGACACGCGGAGGCCCGTGGTCTGTTCCCTGCGAGGGGAAACGTGCTCTGCACCTGTCCGCCTGCCTCGGCTGCTCCGGGCCCTCCGCCAGCCCCTCGGGGGTGCCCCCCACACCGGGGCAGAAGGGGAAGGAGGAACTTCAGGCAGAAGGCTGATTGGCAAATGGGATCTTCAGGGGCAAGGTCGGACTCCCTGTGACCCAGACGTCAGTCCTGCTCGCAACTGCCGGCAGGTTGGGCCGACACCACAGGCTTCCCCCCTGTGCCGAGGGCCGAGGTCCGAGGTCCGAGGTCCGGAGCAGCAGCAGCGTGGGCGGAGAGCGCAGGGATCCGTCAGCAGCCGCAGATGCCTTTCCTCCCACGTTACACAGAAATCCCAACAGCTCACCGAGGTGTCTCTAAGGAGATCAAGTTCTACCAAAGTGAATCCTTCAGTTAACTGATCGAATGGATGAGTTCTGGCCCTTGAAGGTTCCTTCCCCAGTTAGAGGGCGGAACTGGTCCGCGGGTGAAGGTTCGGTGCTGTGTCCTAGCCCGACGGCAGGCGAGGAGGGTAACAGAACCGGGAGCCCGGCTTGACTCCAGCGCTCACGGGCTGCAGGGCTGCAGGAGGCCACCTGTGTGCACAGCATGGAAGTGGGAGCTGGCGGCCGAGGGAGGGGCCGGGAGGTTTGACTGAGTGGTTTTCCAGGTGACTGGAGAAGAGGGCTTGGTGGAGGAGGGTTTGCTGTTTCATTCAGCAGATTTGCAAATGTAACGCTTCCTGCATGAGGCACGTTGTCCTTTCTCAGTGATTGAATGTGTGTGTGTTTTAAGCACTAAGATGCAGCTGGTCTGACTGTTCTGGGCAGTCTTGGTGCCCCATTTCCTGTGCTGTGATTGTTCTCGAAGACAGTGTGGCTCAGCCACCGTGAGAAGCCCAGATAAAATCCATCCCCAAAATTCAACAACAAAAATGAATAATAATGAGGGAACAGAACATCAGATAAGGAAACATCGTGTGTAAAAGTCAAACTGGGGTTCCTGCTATTAGAAAGAGTGGTGTTGACTGAGTCTTGGAGAAGGGGACAGATTTCCCAGTTCCTGAGAATTTTTAAGAACCATTTATTTTAAAATTATAGTTGATAGACAATATTATATTGGTTCCTGGTGTACAATATCATGATTTGACATTTATATACCTTACGAAATGTTCACTGCAAAAAGTCTTAGTAACCATCTGTCACCTTACCTAGTTATTAACAATATTATTGACTACATTCCCTATGGTGTACTTTACATCCCGGTGACTATTTTTATAACTGACTGTACTTCTTAATCCCCTTCGCCTTTTGTGCTGGTTTTCCCCATCCCATTTTTAGTTTTCTGTTTCTTTGTTTTAAGATTGAAGCCCCAGGGTCAGAAAGAGCGTCGATGGCCTTTGCAGGCTGCCTCGGTGACCGCACTGTAGGTCTCTTGTCATGACTTCATTCTGATGATTCCCCCTCGTATTTCCATTACTTCTAGTCCTGGAATTTTTGCAGTTAGTTTTGATATTGAATAGCAAAGTATTTACTGGAAACTCATTTTTAAAAAGCACAGCCAACACTCGTGCTTGCCAAGTCAGACGGGTCAGAGCCCAGGGGTAGGGGTGAACAGGGAGGTTGACGCGCATCTACTGTGGAAAAACTGTGTGAAAAGACAGGGTTAATTTGAGGCTCGTCCTCTCTGGTGTTTGCGTGGAGATCATCGTGCTGTCTATTACAATTCTTGTTTATCCTCCGCAGGTGAAATACAAAGGAGAGATGAAACAGGCAACTGCAATTTCTGATCCTCCAGAGCTGAAGAGAGTCAGAGAGAACCAGAGGAATATCAGCAATGTGTGGTCCTAGCAACTTCTTTCTTACGATAGATATCAAGCGTGTTGTCAGCGTGTCGATGAAAGGATGATGTTTGCACGTGTTCATGACCTGGAGTGGGTCACTGAGTTCTGTTCTCAACTGACTATCAATTTATTGGAAAGGTTTCAAGGCCTTAGGTCTTATGGGTATAGCCAGGCATTCTTCCCTCAAGAATTCCCTGGGATATGCCAGTAAGATTATTTCTGTAGGTTACTGTGCATTGTCCTACATAGTCTTCCTGTCTGTGGTTGCTCAAAGGGACTCAGCCGTAGCTCCTGGCGTCATGGTCTCACCACCTTTCCCTCCGCATATGTTCTTCTCTAGCCTGTGTGCCCACGAGGGCTACAGCTACTTTATTTTTAGATGATGTCTGGGGAGAACTTTTAAAGTGTGTGTACTAAATAGGTCACACGAGATAGGCCCATTTTAGGGGCACTTGTGCAGGCTGTCATTTTTTCCTAAGGCACCAACTCCCAGCCCGCGCTGTTTATGTCATCCACGGAGTGGTTCACGGAGAGAATTCTTTTTTGAAGTCATTAACATATAGATGGGGTTCTTTGGAGGAGGAAATTTGGAAGCCTATTAGGTTCAGAGAAACCGTGTATTCTTTACACCTTTCAAGTCATTTGAGCCGATTATAAAGCAAAGGGAGCTTATTGTTTGGCACTTTTCCCAACAGCTATATTCTAGAGAAGGAGATGCTTATCTTTTCCCAATATATTTAGAGCCACACTTGATGTGACTTCATTCCTTTCAAAAAGGAACATGGTGATTGAGAAGGAGGGAGAGATTAGTGGGAAGCACACCGGCCTCTTTATGCATGGTTATGTCACCTATTCAAAGATAACCTTTTAAAAGTTCTGCCACAGTTAACTGCTAAGAAACCACAACGGTATAGTACCATTCTATATGGGTAGGAGCACCTTTAAGTAATATCCATGAAGACATTTCTTATCATATTCCTTTGTGGTGAAATGCTTATTACAGCTTTGCTAATGATATGCCCATACATTTGAGTACGTTAACCGTGATACACTGCTATGGGAGGAAGGAAAATAGATTGATTTAAGGTGTAAGCATTTTAAATATGACTAGACCTCTGATAGCAACCTCTTTTTTCACTGTTTTCTTTTTTTGGCTAGTTCTTTAAAATAAATACCCTAAGATTCTTATTTAGTTGAATTGCTTCTCAGTACACTATTTTTTGTTCTCTGAAATGATAGGTTTATTATAAAGGTCAGCTGGGAAGAGCTACAGCTTTAAGTGTAACCCCCGAAATGGAAAGAGTAAAGAAGAACCAAGAAAATATTAGTTCGGCAAGTGGTTTTACTCATTTTGGACTATCACAAAGGATGTGTCATTTGTTATTTATGTGCAGTCCAGTTTTTTTCCTTGTGAAAACAAAATACATTTTCAAGAAACATTTGGGACGTATGCAGTGAGTACACGTGTCATGACAGAGACTTCCCAAAGCTGCCACCATCTCAACTTACATTTTCTCAAACCGTGTATTGATATTCCCAGATGTGACCAACAGTTACACTTAAAGTTTAGTTTTAAATCATATTATGTTCATTTAAACAAGGATTCGTACATTTTAGCCTTCCAATTACCTTTGGAAGTGTCTTTGGAAGTGGTAGTCTTTGTTGTGTAGTTAAATGATTATCATCTTACTGATGGATTCCATTGAATGTGGATTGTTAAATGCTCTCTGCAAAACAAAGTAAGACATGAGCCATTACTCCAAAGTAAGGACCTAGAGTAAAACAAAAATTTTATATACACTTAATATAGAAATTAGTTGTTCAGTAAGGTCCCATGGTGCCCACGGGGCTTCAGCACTGGGCCGTACAGGTCTGTGATAGTGCTCTACACAGTCAGCGTCACGTCCAGCAGAGTCTGGTGGTCAGCTGTGCAGAACAGCCCTGGGCCTGGGGATTCAAATTTAGGTTTTAGAATTTATACCTTTCCAATGGCATTTCTGTGCAAAGATGCTGACTAAATTCAACTTAAATTACCTTGAAGTTATGGCTGCTTAGAAGAAAATGAAATTAGTTTTTTATTATTTTTCTTTTCTTTTTCTCTTTAAACTCATCTTTATTGTTGAATGTGTTACAGATATCCCCCTTTTTCCCCATTGACCCCCACCTCCCCAGTTCCACTCCCTTCCTGCCTTCAGCCTTCCCCACACTGTTGTCAGTGTCCATTGGTTACGCATATATGCACAGAAGTTCTTTGGTTTATCTTACTGTTTCTTATCCTCTATGGAGAAGAAGAAGAAGAAGAAGTGAAGGGAGGATGGGCATGCATTCTTCAGCAATGTTATGGGGAAAATGGGGAAATGTGGAAACAGAAAAGTAAATTTAGCTTCTATGTAGTTTTGGGTTTTCCCTGTTCAGTTTAAGTATGATAACCACTTCTACTGAGTGCATCGTCAGTGGTTACTGTTCATTCACACATGTGTTTTCAGTTGATGGAGCAATTAAGTCATTTTTGTCTAGATTTTAAAGGAGACCTTTGAGAGTAAAATGTTAGATTGTTATTCTAGGACGAAATATAATTCACTGACCAAGTTACCTGGGGGAACCATTTAGAATATGTTGTATATATTTCACTCATTTGGAAAACTTGAAAAAGTTATGTGATTTTTGTTATTATAATTGTCTTATGTTCGACTGTTTACTTTGCAGGTAAAATATACCCAGGACCATAAACAGATGAAAGGTAGACCAAGTCTTATTTTAGATACACCTGGTATGAGACATGTCAAAGAAGCACAAAATCATATTTCAATGGTAGGGTACAACCAGATACTTCTTCTCACAACTAAAATACACTGAGGAATGGCACCACCCAGTGTACTGACGGCGTTAGCTCACCATTAATCTGGATAACTAACAAAGCATAGAAGTGCGGATGGCTGTCCTTTCGGGGAGACTTTTTAATGACACTGAAATGTAATGGAAATATTGTCTAATAAAATAATTTTTTTCTGTGATTTTTGGGTGTATTTTTATTTCTAACATGACTACTATGAATGCATTTTATGAGAGACATTTGGATGAACTTATTCCCAATTAACTTTAAGACAGAGTTTGCTGTGTTTGCATGGTGCAAAGAAGATTAAAAATATGTATGTATTTTAAAAGTTTCAAAAGACATGATTTATATGCCATAAAATTCACTCATTTAAAGTGTACAATTCAGTGGTTTGTATAATTTACAGAGTTGAAAAACCGTCACACTAATCCAATTTTAGAACCCGAAAAGTGTATGTTTTGAAGTATATATAATTTTTTGTCATTATATACAAAAATGTATGTATAATTATCTGTAACTCTCTTAATCTAATTTTAAATGTTGTTTTCTTGAATAAGTGTGTGGAAATAACATCATTTTATTGCATATTAAAGGTTAAGAGATAGGTAATTAATTTGTACCTAAATTAGTACATTTTAGAGAGGAACCAGGATTAAATATAAATATATATATATACACACACACACATACATGTCTTTTAAAAATTCTTACTGATATACAGGTATATATATATTTATATATATAATTTATATATAATTTAAAAGAGCTGCTAACCATAATGCCGCAAAACTATGAATATATTACCACTTGATTTCTGATGCTAGGAAGCTGAAGTTTCGGATGTTATTTTTGGAGTGGAAAAGATACATATATGCAAAAAATAATCTAGATGTAGCTGGTGCAGTGACAGCTGTCGTATCAAAAAATTGTGAGCTATGTAGTATTCGGGAAATTTCAGTTTGAGTTAATACTGTTTTTCCTTTTTTTCGCAGGTAAAATACCATGAAGATTTTGAGAAGACAAAGGGAAGGGGCTTCACTCCTGTGGTGGACGACCCTGTGACGGAGCGCGTGAGGAAGAACACGCAGGTCGTCAGTGATGCCGCTTATAAAGGTGTCCATCCTCACATCGTGGAGATGGACAGGAGACCTGGAATCATTGTTGGTAAGTTGATGGTCACTTCCCGGCAGGGCTGCGTGGTCAGAAAGATCATGCTTGGCCGAGCTTTTGAAGTAGCCTCCTTACTCATCACACTTCTCCAGTGTTTGATGTGGTGTCCAGCTGAAAATGGACCAAAGTGTTCTAGTCGCACCACGTTGAATGGGATTCATGGTACTCGCCAGGCATCATTTCAGTCCTCTCTGTAACTGGACACTCTGTCTTTAATAACTTTCTGGTCTTAAGGATGTTGCTACCTGTTAAGCAAAGCAGCAGCCCAATATCAATCATGGGTGATAACAAGGTATGAACAATTATTTTGATTTTACTTTATGTATTTGATCAATATTGTCTGCATGGGTGACGGAAATAACAGAAGTAATCCTGTTTAGGTCCTTTTACCACAAATAGACATCCCAGAGAGATTCTGCTGGTATGCCATCATATGACTAGCTTATATATTTTTTAATATTATGTATGGACTGGGATAATGGAGAGCTGCCTGGAAGTCCCATAAATCAGAGAAGAAAAACCTTCTTTTCCTGCTGTTCCTTCTGGTCAGTCGGAGGAAGTCTTAGGACAGTGTGTAAAGGTGGCTGAGACAGCAAGGATCATATGAAGTCTGAGACAGCTAGTCAGGAAAGTTATTAATTTTTCAGTGTATATCAACAACCCATACTTCCAAATGATGATTGTCTTCTTCAGAGCAGTTAGCCTCTGTATTTTTTTTTTCTTTTTATCCTCACCCAAGAACATTTTTCCATTCCTTGTTCAGATAGAGTGGGAGAAAGAGAGAGGAAGAGAGAGAGAGAGAAACATCAACGTGAAAGGGACACATTGAGTGGCTGCCACCCGCACAACCAACCAGGGCCGGGGACAAACTGCAACCAAGGTACGTGCCCTTAGCGGGAACCAAACCCGGGTCTCTCTGGACCGCAGGCCGACGCTCTAACCGCTGAGCCAAACCGGCCAGGGCAGCCTCTGCATTTTTATAGCTAGTCCATTATATTGCTCAAATCATATTTTTTGGTAACCGTGCAACAGCTCCTCTCAGTAATCTGTGTTAGACATGGGTGAGGAAAGTGTGTATTTTCCTATTTCCTCAGACAGGCTCGTATCTCAGTGTGAAACACGGGTACTGAAGTAAGGGCTGCGAGTTACTTGAGTGGTTATTAAGTGATGCTGAAAGTATTTGTCAGAGAGGGATTCCAGGCAGATTTGTAGGTAGTGGACGGCTTTGCTGATCTTCCCAAGTTGATTGCTTGCCGCGATCACATTAAATTGGATAAGTTGTGATGTTTTCATCAAAAACATCACAGAATTAGAGTTTCCTTGCTTTGTATTAAGATCTCATAAGAGATGCTGCAGAGAGTCTGATTCGCAGGAGTGTGGGGACGGTGAGGTCTGCACAGCCCACACCAGGTCCCACCCTGGGTCAGGAGCCAGGAATGAGTGTGAGATCCTCGCTGGAATCCATGAGACTGTCTAGACTTGGAGTTCTCAGAATTCAGTCCTGTTGCCTTTGAGATAGAAAGTATTAATTGTTAAAAACATAAGAGATATAAGTCTAAATTATTAACTTTCTGGGCAATCCAGAAGTCAGTTTATTTTTTTAATTGGGGAAACTGTTTTCCATTGAGGACTTACCTATGAAACCACAAAATGTGTTACATTCAACAAACATTGAGCTTCTGAGCCAGGTATGGAAATACAAGTTTAGAGATTTTCTGAGTAATTCAGACTCAGCCAATTTGCGAGCTCCTATTTTTTGGAGGCTCTGCTACTTACTAGTTATATAACCTTGGCTAAGCTAACTCGACTTCTCGTTGCCTCGGTTTCCCCATCTATAAAATGGGAAGAATAATAATATCTACTTTATTATATTATGAAGCTTAAATGACTTATGTTATAACTGAGAATAGTGCTTGGTAAGCACTATCTAATTAAAGACACACAAACAGATCTTCAGTTTCAGGTTACTAATTCATTATTTTTTACTAACGCTCCATTTCTGCCACACATCTTTAACTAGGTTTTTATTTTCCTATTGTTAGTATAGCACTATACAGATCATTTTAGAACCTGATAACCATTAGGTAGAGAGACTGAAAAACAGAGGAGTTATCAGATTTAGGTTTTTGCCCTCAACTAAAATGGAAGAATAAATTGGCTTGCAGAGTCTGATTACTGACCATACCAGTGAACTAATCTGTGGTCCACTGAGAACAGGAAGCTCTTCCTTGTTCATCTTCCCATCCTTCATTGGTCCTTGCTTGGTGCCTTGCTTTACTGTACTTTTAAAATAAGTGTACCTTATGTGAATTAGCTTGTGCTCACCGGCTCACAATGAAAACCGTTACAGCAAGATAATTTTTGTTTTGTTTTCTCAGACAAAAACCTCTCAGTCACTTCCCGTGAATTAGTCACATGTCCTCAATCAGGAGTTTTCATCAATATTGTACCTGTTTCATTGCATGGAGAGCAAGAGTAACTGGGGTTTAGGGGTGCGGAGAGGCTGCACAGAGTGGTCTGATGTGCACGTGTGCTGGGAGAAGGTCAATGAAGATAAACAGGGTGACTTAAATTTGATCATAAAGTTTGCTTAACAAATTCTGGTGAACGGAAATTTTCTTTGTTCTCCTTTGATGTCTGCATTGCAGTGTGTTTGCTCGTTACATGTTCGCTCTTTACATACGTGCCTGTCAAGACTTTCTCTTGGTTCTTTTTGGTGCTGGCATTTTTATTCATGCTTGATTTATTGATTTCTCCCCTTTGTTAAAAGACCTCAAAGTTTGGCGCACAGATCCTGGCTCCATCTTCGACATTGACCCCCTGGAAGACAATATTCAGTCTAGAAGTCTACATATGCTCTCTGGTACCGCTTGCATTTTCCGTTCCTCCCGGTCCATGTGCTTGTTGTCCTGAAGCTGGAGCTAATCTGAGCTGTAGAGGTTCATTGTGCCAACTGTGTAATGTACATTTTAAAGTTGACGGTTCAAAAAACAAAAAAAGTGGTAGGCTGCTTTAAAATACCATTGATAATTTATGAAAACAAAACTTGAAACGGGTTTTTTAATCCTCACCCGAGGACATTTTTTTTTTTTTCCGATATTTTGTTCATATAGAGTGGGAGGAAGAGAGAGAGAGAGAAACATCGACGTGAAAGCGACACATCGAGTGGTTGCCACCCACACGACCCAACCAGGGCCGGGGACAAACTGCAACCGAGGTACGTGCCCTTAGCGGGGACTGAACCCGGGTCTCTCCGGACCGCAGGTCGACGCTCTAACCGCTGAGCCAAACCGGCCAGGGCGAAACGGGTTTTTTAATATATCCAAATTAGTTTGTTCTAGATTCATTTAAAAAGGCATCTAGAACTTACACCTGCTTTTGATTAGTGAATATGATTTTATAGGGTGTCTGGGCTTTCAAATGCAGTTATTTGGATTTCTCTAAATTGCCAAGGCATAAAGAAGATCTGTTTCATGAAAAACACTGTTACAATATTTTAAAGGTAGATTTAAAGAATTTTATATAAAACAATGGGAGAGGTTACCTATATCGCATCATAGATGATAAATGTCTTTAAAATAAACCTTCCAGTAGCCTTAAATTTTATTTCTGAGTTTTTTAATAATGTAAAATTTACTGTTTTCATAGGAAGTTTATTTGGCTTTTAACTTAGACTGCATATTTATAATTAAAAGCAAAAACCAAATGGTTTGGTTATTAGGTATAGTGAAAGCATGGTTTGCCATTTCAGACTTTCATACTGTGTTTAGCAAATCAAAGCTTTGACTGTTATACAGTTACTTTAAACAATAAAAATAGACATCATATCGCTTAGGTCTTGCCTTGCCCTCTGATTTCTACTTTAGATTTAATTGTTGACATTAATAAAATTGAAAGCCTGAGGCAAAATAGGGATTTTAATACTTTAATAGTCAATTTGATCCACATAATCAGCCAAAAAGTCATTTAAATTTCTAAAAATAAAGAAGAGGCAACAAGTGTTGTGTCCTTGGTGACACACTTGAAAACAATTATTTGTAACCAGCCATTATATTTGATAGACATTTATTAGTTTGCTAATGTTTCCTTAATTCTTGTCGATTTCCATCCCCCAGATCTCTTCTAAAATCCAGATTTAAAAATGAGTATAAATGGTCATTAAGTCATTAATAGAGTTGATACAGTCTATGCTGAAGTTGGGGTGTAAATGTTTAGAATTTATAATTCTGAGCTTTCGGATTATTATTTAATAAGGGATTGTTTTTCCTTCCTGTTTTAATGTTTAAGTAAGTTTTTGTTTGTTTTGCTCTTCAATTCACTTAATCACAAGTATAAATATTTTCCCCCCAATGTAGAAAAGGCGAGTCACTATAGGAGACAGCGGTCTCGATCTCATTCCAGCAGTACCTTTGGTGCAGTTCTTGGAGATGACAAGTCAGAAATGTCCGAGATTTACCCTAGCTTTTCCTGCAGCAGTGAGGTAACAAGGCCGTCTGATGAAGGAGGTATCAAGCATTAAACATTCTCCAAGAAAATGTATTCATTTAAAAAAAAAAAGTCACCGTGTGTTTTTAACACAGTCTTCACCTCTGCACAAGCATTCAGCCTGGACACATTTGAAAATTCTAAATTCTGTTTAGAAAGTTGAGTCCTTTTTTATTTTAATACGACTAATTTGCCTTTTGCATGTTTGTTTTTTCCTTCCTACTTCACTATTTTCACTGTAACTGGATCTCTAACGACAAAAGGGTTTTGGGATCTGCTACTTGAGTCTAGTTTACAGGAGTTATATGAGATGGGTATACACAGCCAGAGTGGAAACTTGAGTTCTGAGAAGTTTGTATCTGATTTCTATTGAGAAAAACCATTTTTATAGTAACATGTGAGTGGCGAAGTGCTTGCTATGAATTGTGTGTGTTTGAATTTTTGTATACATTTGTCGTTAAAGTTTAAAAAGAAGTTGGGTATGTTACTTGGGATGTAAGGGTTGTGGTTTTTTAAAAGAAAAACACTGTTGATTTTTAATCATGTTCTCTATATTGTATATAGAGAACTCACCCCGTTCCTCTACCTTGTCCTGTTTTCTGCATCCAAGCTGGTGGATTAGGTTGAAAACTTTTAGTTGAAATTGTTTTGGATGTTAAACAATTTAATCACAATAAAGTTGTTATTAAATATTTATTTATTTTTATTTTGTTGAGAACATTTACTTTCTACTCTCAACAAATTTTATCTTTTTAAGGATATGATAGTTTTGTGTCATACTGTAAATCATACTTCCTTAAAATTTTTTATTTTATTGTGATAAATATATATATAATATGGACTATGCCATTTTAGCCATTTTAATTGTACAATTAGAAGCATTGATTACATGTATAATGTTGTGCAGACATCAGCACTGTTTTCAAAATGTTTTTATCACCCATCATACTATCTTTTGGTTTCCTTGAAATGGGCTCTTTCTCACTCTGTATGGTGTTCTCCCAGGATCATATCCTGGGATTAAGCACATTAATGAGCACCCCCTACAGCCTGCATAATTGTAGGCTTAGACTACATGTCCTTTCTATTCTCTAGACTCCAGAGCCTTTTTTTTTTAAGGGAAAAAAAAGGGAGTTTTTCCAGAAGATAGTCCCCATACTTTTATTTTATTTTATTTTATTTTATTTTATTTTATTTTATTTTATTTTATTTCTATTGTTGAAAGTATTACAGATGTCCCCCTTTACCCCATTGTCCCCCTCATTTCCACTCCCACCCTCCTCCTAATGTCTGTGTCCATTGGTTGTGCATATATGCATATAAGTTCTTTGGTTTATCTCTTCCCATTCCTCCCACCTCTCCTCCCTGTTAGTCTGTTCCCTACTTCCATAACTCTGGATGTCTTTTGGTCAACAGCTTATTTTGTTCATTATGTTCCATAAATAAGTGAGATTATGTGGTACTTGTATTTCTCTGACTGGCTTATTTTGCTTAGCATAATACTCTCCAGGTCCCTCCATGTCATCTCAAAGGGTATAAGAGATCTCTCTTTCTTACAGCTGCATAGTACTCCATTGTATAAATGTACCACAGCTTTTTTTTATCCACTCATCTACTGATGAGCACTTGGGTTGTTTCTAGATCTTAACTATTGTAAATAGTAGTTCTATGAACATAGGGGTGCATATATTCTTCCTGATTTGTGTTTCAGGCTTCTTAGGATATATTCCTAGAAGTAGGTTCACTGGGTCAAATGGCAGTTCCATTTTTAATTTTTTTGAGGAAACACTATATTGTTTTCCATAGTGGTTGCACCAGTGTGCATTCCCATCAGCCATATGTTAGAGTCTAGAGTCCCCTTTTCTCTACATCCTCACTAGCACTTGTTGTTTGAGGATTTGTTGATGGCCGCCATTCTGTCACGTGTGAGATGATATCTCACAATTGTTTTAATTTGCATCTCTCTGATGATTAGTGACGTTGAGCATTTTTTCATATGTCTCTTGGCCATTTGTATGTCCTGTTTGGAGAAGTGTTCATTCAGGTCTTCTGCCCATTTTTTAAATTGGATTGTTTGTCTTTCTTTTGTTGAGTTGTATGATTACTCTCTCTATGTATATGTATATATGTATATTTTCATTTATCTTCAGATAGAGCAGGGAGAGTAGGAGGGAGAGAGAGAGAGAGAAAAACATAGATGTGAGAGAGACACATTGAGTGGTTGCCACCCACACGACCCCAACCGGCAAGGGAAAAACCGCAACCAAGGTATGTGCCCTTAGTGGGAACCAAACCCAGGACTCTGGTTCGTGGGCCGATGTTCCAACCGCTGAGCCAAACTGGCCAGGGCTGAGTACTCTATATATTTTGAATATTAACTCTCTATCTAATATATCATTGGCAAATATGCTCTCCCATATAGTGGGTTTTCTTTTCATTTCGATGCTGGTTTCTTTTGCCGTGCAGAAGCTTTTTAGTTTGATGTAGACCCATTTATTAATGTTTTCTTTTGTTTCTCTTGCCCTAGGCAATGTATTAGTGAAAATTCTACTACATATGATGTCTGAGATTTTTCTGCCTACATTTTCCTCTAGGATTTTTATGGTTTCATGACTTACACTTATGTCTTTTATCCATTTTGCATTTATTCTTGTGTATGGTGTAAGTTGGTGGTCTCGTTTTAATTTTTTGTATGTAGCTGTTCAGTTTTCTCACCACCATTTATTGAAGACACTGTCTTTTCTCCATTGAATTCTTGTCTCCTTTGTAGAATACTAATTGTGTATACTGTCTTGGGTCAATATCTGGGTTCTCTGTTCTGTTCCATTGATCTATATGCCTGTTCTTGTGCCAGTACCTGGCTGTTTTGATTACAATGGATTTTTAGTATAACCTGATATCTGGTATTGTGATCCCACCTACTTTGTTCATCTTTTTCAAGAATGCTCTGGCTATTTTGGGTTTTTTTTTTTGTTCCATATGAACTTTTGAAGTATTTGTTCTAGTTCTGTGAAATATGCTGTTGGTACTTTAATAGGGTTTGCATTGAATCTATAGATTGCTTTGCATAGTATAGACATTTTAATAATGTTGATTTTTCCAATCCATGAACATAATATGTGTTTCTACTTTTTTTTATATCTTCCTCTATTTCTTTTTTCAATGTCATGTAGTTTTCTGAAAACAGGTCTTTTACCTCCTTGGTTAAGATTATTCCTAAATATTTTATTTATTTTTTGTTGCAATGGTCATTTTTAAAAATGTATTATTATTATTTTTTTTATTCTTCACCCGAGGATATTTTTCTATTTATCTTCAGATAAAGTGAGAGGGGGGGAGAGAGATGGAGAGAGAGAGAAACATCGATGTGAAAGAGGCGCACCAACCGGCTGCCTCTGGCATGACTCCAACCAGAGCTGGGGATGAACAGCAACTAAAGTACGTGCCCTTGGCCGGAATCAAACCTGGGACTCCTTGGTCTGTGGGCCGATGCTCTAACTGCTGAGCCAAACCAGCCAGGGCTGGGGTTGTTTTTTCAGTTTCCACTTCTAAGTGTTCATTATTGGCGTATAAGAATGCCATCGATTTCTAGATGTTAATTTTGTATCCTGCTACTTTGCCAAATTCATTTATTAAATCTAGTAGATTTTTTATTGAGTTTTTAGGGTTTCTATGTACAATATCATGTTGTCTGTGAATAATAACAGTTTCACATCCTCCTTTCTGATTTGGATCTCTTTTATTTTTTCTTCTTGTCTAATTGCTGTGACTAAGACTTCCAGTACTATATTAAGTAAGAGTGATGAAACTGGGCATCCCTGTCTTGTTCTCATTCTTAAGGGAAATGATTTTAGTTTTTGCCCACTGAGTATGATTTTAGCCATAGATCTTTTATATATGGCCTTTATTATGTCGAGATATGATCCCTCTATTCCCACTTTGCTGAGCATTTTAATCAGAAATGGATGCTGGATTTTGTCGAATGCTTTTTTAGCATCCATTGATATGATCATATGGTTTTATCTTTCATTCTGTTTATGTGGTGTATCACATTTATTGATTTGCAAATATTGTACTAGCCTTGCATCCCTGGGATGAATCCCACTTGGTCATGGTGAATAATTTTTTTTTAATGTATTGCTAGATCCTATTTGCTAATATTTTGTTAAGGATTTTGACATCTGTGTGCTCAGGGATATGTAGTTTTCTTTGTTTGTAGTATCTTTTTCTGGTTTTGGAATTAGAAGTATGGTGGCCTCATAAAAGAGTTTGGAAGTTGTCCTTCTTGAATTTTTTGGAGTTTGAGAAGAAATGGATGTTAGTTCTTCTTTGAATGTTTGGCAAAAATCCCCAGTGAAGCTGTCTGGGCCCAGGCTTTTGTTTGCTTGCAGTTTCTTAATTACATCTTCAGTTTCCTTAGTTGTTATTGGTCTGTTCAAGTTTTCTATCTCTTTTCAGTTCTATTTTGGGAGACTATGTGATTCTAAGAATTTGTTCATTTTGCCTAGATTGTTCAATTTGTTGGCGTATAATTGTTCACAGTATGTTTTAACAGTTCTTTGAATTTCTGTGGTGTCAGTTGTTAACTCTCCTTTTTTGTTTCTGATTTTGTTTATCTGGGTCTTCTCTCTTTGTTTCTTGGTAAGTCTGGCTAAGGGTCCGTCAATCTTGTTTATCTTTTCAAAGAACCAGCTCTTTGGTTCCTTAATCTTTTGAATTGTATTTTTTAGTCTCTATGTCATTTATTTCTGCTCTTACCTTTACTATTTCATTCCTTGTACTTTCTCTGGGTTTTTCTTTTTGTTTACTTTATAGTTCTTTAAGTTGTAGGGTTTGATAGTCAATTAGAATTTTTTTTTTTTAATTCTTGAGGTAAGAATATAGTGCTATGAACTTCCCTTTCAGGACTGCTTTTGCTGTGTCCCATAGATTTTGTATTGTTGTGTGTTCATTTTCATTGGTTTCCAGGAAGTTTTATTTCTTCCTTGATTTCCATGTAACCCATTCATTTTTTAATAAC